GTGGTGGCACAGAGTCACTGACCGAACTGAAGAACAAGGACAAGTCCAAGGCCCCGCACCCACTTGACTCCCTGGCTCCCCCGGAGACATACTCGTACTATGGCCCACTCAACATCCTCACTTACAATGTCGGCTTGCATAACGAGCACCATGATTTCCCTGCTATCCCCTGGACCAAATTGTATAAGCTGCATGAGATTGCGAGCGAGTTTTATGAGCCGCTGCCTTGCCACCGAAGCTGGGTTTGGGTTATCTGGACTTTCATCTTGGATAAAAATGTTGGTCCGTGGTGTCGTGTGAAGCGCGAACAGGGTGGACAGATTGTTGGCGGTGGGAAGCAATGGAATGGGCGTAGTGGTGAGAGCATCTCGGCCAAGTCGGCGGGTCCGGCGGGCGAGGAGGGTGATGGTTGGAAGGAGAGTGAGCTTCAATGTTAGGATCTTGTTCTGTCTTTTGAGTATCACATCTGGTGTTGAATTTCGGCTGTTTAATTACATACATTATCGGGTGGAGTACTTGTACTTGTTAGATTTATTTGTTTACAATAAAATGAGCTATCATCTCCGGTGCCCGTGTTCGTAAAACCATTAAAGGCGTAGAAACAGGGCCGCATGTCTGCAATCAACCAACTACCGAAGGAGGGACACGAAGTCCGCAACTACGGCATAGGCTTAGCTCTAGTAGCAATCACATGAATTATCCCGAGCCCGAGAATAGTTTATGAGACAAAAGGAAACGAATTGAGAGGCTGAGTCCGTTCATCATAAAATGATATTAGACAAGACAGGAAAGGTCAAGCAACAAAGGAAAGCAACAACAAAGAAGATGATGAGACAGACAGATGCCTGGCCTCAAGGGGAGTTCAGAAATCCGGAGAGACAACATGAAAGCAAAGTATTGATACCGGGGAGAAAAAAAAAATCAGAGGCAAACGCAAGAAAAGGCTGATGCTAGAACAGATAGAAAAAGGAATGCTCTTCAAGAGACAAAAAGTAGATGGGAATTTGGGAGATGCGTCAGCGACGTTAGACCTGAGGCATTGAGCCAGCGGAGAGGAGGCGCAATGAAGCCAGATAGACCGTGAAAAATCGACAAAGAGAAGACCAGCTTAGAAGAAGAAGTACGCGATCAAGAAGCTGAGCAGGCAGAGACCTGCTACACTCTGGATCGAAACTCCACCAGCCGTTGGCGCATGTGACTGTTGCATGGCGGCAGGCGCAGCCTGGCCAGTAGCTTCTCCGCCGGTCTTCCGCTGTCGGAGTCCTTGGTCTGCGAGTCGGTCCTTCAGTCGCTGGATCTGTGCGTTGGCTTCGGACAGCTGGGCCTTGAGGTCGTCACTTGAGGGAAGAGCGTTGGCAACGGCGGATCGGGCGTTTGACATTACAGATGCAGGCTCGTGCTGGGGAGATAGGGACTTCTTCTCGGAGAAATCGGGAGCAGGGATTGGGGACGGTTCATCAGAGTTGATCTTCTTGGGGGCCGGGGTCTGGAAATTTGCGCCGCTAGGAGATGTGTATGTCGGAGGTTCCTCGGGATTTACCTGGTGAAAGTTAGAGGATATGTATGGAGAAATGATTGCTGAAGAGGAGCATACCGAGTCGTTAGTTGTGGCATCTGTTGCTAGGTAGACAACTCGGATCTTGCGCTCAACCACATCGGCCTTGGGAGTTTGATCGAACTAAATGTAGGATATCAGTTACTAGTCTTGATGTTCGTGATCCCGCACTCTAGACGTACAATCTGGCCAACGCTAGCCTCCTCCAAGCCATGGGAGACTGAGACGGCCTGGACCAGGAACTTATCCTTGCACTTGGCATCCGCAGCAGGGTCCTCCTTCATAGCCTGAAGCAGCACTATCGGAAACGGTTAGCCTGGCGTAATTCAAGCGCACTCGCTTATCAACCAACCTTGGACTTCGACAGTCTTGCCCGGCTCGATGTGGCCGGAGTTAGGTCGCACACAGTAACTGCAGTATGGTCAGATAACAAAGCTCGAGTATAGGAATTGCGCAGAGGGTCGTCGGGACATACTGCTTAGGAGCGGTGGTTTTGACCTAGTGCGCCGAGGACATGTGTTAGTATTGGTTGTCCCGCGACAAAGGCCGAGGGGGATGTCACACATACCTTGAAGACTACAGATTCCTCGTTCGGGTTGCTCAGGCGGAGGACCTGGCATACTTCATGATTAAAGGGACCTATAATTAAGAGATAAGCTGTTGATCTAGGCAATGCTGAGACAGGTTCAGGATCCGGTACTCACGCTTGAAGCCCAACTCAGAGGGCTCGATTTGGATAGTCATGGTGCACGTAGTCAGAATGAAAGAGGTGGGAAAAGGGAACAAAGATGACAAGAGCACAAATGACTGCACGCGATTAGGTTGCGATTGGGAAATAGAAGTGTGGGAGGGTTATCAGGTCCAGGCCGATGTGATGCCTCAGGAGTTTGATTACTGTCCACATGGGCACTCCAGTTTCGGGGAAAGCTGCTGAGTCAGCAGACAGTCAGGTGATGTCACTATTGACAACATTTCAAGCTATAAATTGAACATTTGCCTTCTTCATTTTTGCTTATTTTATAGGGATCTTCTCTCTTAAACTGTATATCTTGCTCATATGCCTCACTATCATTCGCCATACGGAGTATTGTATCTCACATCCTCGCATCCTCGGTGAACATCTTCCTCCACCTGCATGTGATGCTTGCGGTGGGGTCAATCATCCCACTTGTGTCTAAATTGTATAAATTTGATGCTCTATCTTGTTTATATAGCGCATTTTCTTCCTGGAATATGCTGGAATATTCTCAATCTCCATAGTTGAAATGCACAGAGCTGTGGCATTGAGGTAGGTATGCGACCGTATCCCTCGGCCCCATTCAAGTTATGCTGGGGTTCCAACTTCGACCTTTATTGCATATGAATGGATGTCATTCAACTCGTCAGTAAGATTGTAGTAGACATCTTATAACCCTGGAGGCTTGAATATAGTAAATACTGGGATACCTACAATGTACATATAGGTATCTCGTAGGTTCCTTGGAAAGAGATATCTTTCAGTCAACTGATTACATGTACTTAATGCTACCTATGTATATATAGCTGTTCCCCATTTATACATAAAGACATATATATATATATCCTAGTATTTTGCTGTATATAGTACTTGATAGCCCCCCCCTGAATGTATCTCGCACGCCACCATCAAGCCCTCTAGGTAGGTCGACGGTTCAAGTTGTTATTCAGCTCTATCTGCCCAGGCACACCCGTGGACCCGTGGACAGCCACACAGCCACCTCAATACATAGATGGGAGATGTGTGCATAGGTAGCACAAGTCAAATACAAAATATAGAGGTCTAATTGAAATTGTTACTCTTTCAATAGCCTGTAAATATTCAAGCATCCCTCAGATACGCCATCGAGAAGAAGTTGATGCCATAGAAACCTGGGGAAGGCAAGTGGGCCTTATCGCTCGCCGCCTTTCTGATACGTCACCCACTCTGTTCTTACTCACATCTGAACCACTTACCTGATACAATTTTGACGAGTTTTTCTCATTCTCTGACAGCTTCATACCGTTATATTTTTGAACTTACCAACAGTCATCATGGCATCGGACCTGGACCAGCTCATTGAAATGGGCTTTGACAAAGAGCGCGCCCAGCTCGCAGTGACAAAGACTGGTGGCTGTAAGTTTCTGCCCTTTACCCTGATATACACAGTGATATGTCCTCTGACTAGCTGAATAGTGCAAGACGCACTGCAGTGGCTCGAGGACAACCAAGACAAGTCATTGGAGGAGGTACAGGCACAGGCCCAAGAGGCAGAAGACGAAGAGGGCCCCGCACTCCAACCAGGCGAACAACCACGCAGCCTAGTATGCAACGAGTGTGGCAAGAAGTTCCGAGGCCAATCGCAGGCGGAGTTCCACGCATCAAAGTCGGGACATGTTGATTTTGCTGAGTCTACGGAGGAAATTGCTCCGTTGACCGAGGAGCAGAAAAAGCAGAGACTGGAAGAGCTACGGGAGAAGCTTGCAGCGAAGCGCGCGGTTCTTTCAGAACAGGACAAGATCGACAAGAAGAAGAATGAGGTTTGTATCCCTGGTCTTAATCCCCGCGAATCGTGACTTGGGGCATTTTGCTGACTTTCATTACCAGGAAATCCGAAGGAAGAGCACTAAGGAAAGTCAGGATGCTAAGGAGGAGCTCGAACGGAAGCAGCAGATTAAAGAGATAGCGAAGAAAAAGAAGGAGAAGCAGGATGAAATCGACGCTAAGAAGCGCATCAAGGCAAAGATCGAGGCTGACAAGGAGGAACGTCGACTGAAGGCAGAGAAACAGCGAGCTGAGCGTGCCGGTGTGGCTCCTCCCCAGACCGCCGGTACCTCGGCGCCAACTTCCTCTGGTCCCGCTACGTCTAAGCCTGCCTCTGCATATACAGAAACCCGGTTGCGATTCCAGTCATCCACGGGTAACATCATGAAGACCCTGCCCGTTGACACGACGTTGTTCGAGGTTGCGGCCGCATTGAGGGAACAGGATGGGATCGAGGTCCAGAGCTTTGTGCAGAACTACCCCAAGAAGGTGTTCGATAGCGAGTTTTTCGGAGAGACTTTGAAGGAACTAGGACTTGTGCCTAGTGCCAGTCTTGTCATCCAATGATTGATCCTATCCCTCCCTTATATCGAAAGATAGATAGCTTCTGCAAAGAACGAGAAATGAGATGAATCCCGAAAAATAGCTTCTGTATGTGAAATAAATTCCCATTAGTCTATAACTATTCCTAAATAATGTACATAATTTTGTTTACTTGGAAGAAGCTCTATCTTTATCTTATCTCGTTATCATCATGTGATGTCGTGATGAGCCGCGTCTTGGTGCCTGAATACAACGCGTTCGACACGCCGTCATTACTTTTCTAATATTGAACTCGACACTCATTCACAACAAAACATGCCAGCGTGAGACCCAATACCCAGGACCCAGGAAATGACGTACCCCATGGAATCGAGCACTGATAGTGATACTTTCAGCGTTGGCGACCAACATCGCGGTAGTGCGGGATCCATTATGATGCCGAACGCTACAGGACCCGCCACAGAAAACCCCTTTGAGGAACCTCAACATCGCATCAGCGAATACACAGCACAGGAAATCGCAACACTACAAGCCCGTCTTGATAAGAAATTGGGACCCGAATATATCTCTGCGCGACCCGGTGCTGCGGGGCAGAAAGTTCATTATCTCTCCGCAGACAAATGCATTAATCTTGCGAATGAAGTGTTTGGATTTAATGGCTGGTCCAGTTCAATCAAGACGATTCAGATTGATTTTGTACGTCGATCATGCGTTGATCAACTATCTAAGGGTTGACTAACGCTTATCAGGTTGAGGAGAATCAAACCACAGGCAAGATCAGCCTGGGACTTTCAGTCATTATGCGAGTCACTCTGAGGGATGGAACATTTCATGAGGTAAGGGGACCTCCACAAGATATGAATTTCTGGTGGGTTGTTGTCTTAACCATAGTTCTCTTCTAGGATATTGGCTACGGTCATATTGAGAACTGCAAAGGCAAGGCCGCAGCATTTGAGAAGGCCAAGAAAGAAGGCACAACAGATGCTTTGAAACGTGCATTGAGGAACTTTGGTAACGTGTTGGGTAACTGTATCTATGACAAGGATTATGTGGCCAAAGTGACCAAAGTCAAGGCAGCGCCTGTATGGTCCCCGATGCCCTTCAATCTACTGTGTGTGTGCTGACTACCAGAATAGGGCAGATGGGATGTCGAAGACCTTCACCGCCACCCTGACTTCGCACCTGCTAAGAAACAGCTGCCTCCACCCAAACGTGTACCGGAAGAGGATGATTTACCCCTCCCTCGTCCTATACATCAAGCGAGAGGCAATAATCCTGGGAACAACGTTTCTTTTGAAGGGGACGGCGAGTTTGGTAGTATGTGTTAGAAAACACAATTTTGGACTCTGGCTAATGGTCTCTAGGTGACCTCTTTGATGAAGCCGATTTTGGGGTACCCGAGACCGATACAGGCAATCCTGATGAGATCGTGGTAGATACAGAGATCCATCGAGAACAGCAGCGCTCCGTGCCAACGCACGGTCCAGCGCCTCAAAGAGGACAGCCTGTTCGAGCAGGGTTTAACCCCGCTGTCGTAACACCATCAAAACCAGAGCGATGGAACGGTTCGGGCCAAGCGGGACGACCGAATCCCCTGAATGCGCGACATAACCCATCGGCTATCCCATCTCCAGCTGGAATACAAGGTCGACCGATGGCTGCCCAAGGTCCTGCTCAAAATCTTGCAAACCCCAGACTATCAGCCCCACAACAGCAACCAGTTGGTCAGAATATTCCACAAAACAACATAGCACAGCCTCCGGTCAAAAGGGACACCGTCCCCGGGGGCTTCCAGGGAAATCAGGATATGAACCCACCGCAAGGAACGCCATCATCCGGTTTCTTTTCTGCCAGAGCAGTGGATCTCCTCCGTGAAAACCCACACTCCATCCCGTCGGGAGCACCTCAATTCGATCCACATGCAGAGAGTCCCTCCATCCGTAAGACGGCTGGTGTTGATCATACAAAAAGCATTCCTATCGCTAGGCCGATGCTATCGGGCGCTTCTCCAGCACCCGCCGCTCCAGCCCCATCCAATAATATTAACAACCCACGCGATTTCGTCAATCCCGCAACGGATCTGCAGCGCAGAGTCGGTGCTCCCGGTGGTGGAGTCAACAGTCCGGTCAGCAGAGGCCCTTCTGTCTCATCATATCGACCGTTGACCCGGCCCAACATTGACCAAAGGAACGCTTCTAACTCAGCCGTGATGAATCGAGGCAGTGTGCCACCTCAGCAGAATCTCAACGGGAAACGGCCTCCACTGGTAGACGTCACCAATGCCGATGCTACACCTGGCGCATATACAGGGGTCGCGGCTTCCGGTCCAAATGACCCAAAACGCCCCCGAGTCTCGGATGTTGACTCCTCTGGGCCTTCTTCTGGGCCTCGCCCACCAACCCAGTAATGAGTATGATCTGATTTGTATTTTGTGCCCTTGAGGAAGAAGGTGCACTACCACGAAATTTCCAACTTCAAGCGTTCCTATTTCATCAAAATTTCTTTCTTTTATCTTCACCTTTCGCCTACGGCGTCATGGCATGGCTATCACAGCGGGGAAGTATGGCAGGCGTTTCCGGAGTGCTCAAACCAAATAGATCCACAGGATCCCAGCGGGGAGAAGCACATGCATTAACTGGATCTTGATACATTCTTTCATATTTGCATATTTTTCTCTTTTGTTATTCCTAAAACGGACCTGAAGCATGCTGGATTTCGGGGACACAATAGCAGGATTAGACCCCTTATGTTGATGTTGATTGGCAGAATTATCAATTATACCAAGAATGAAACGTATGAATAATGTAATTAGCCCCCGTTACTTAAATTGACATCATGTTCGACAAAAAGTACGAACAATTGCAAAGTCCGATCCTTCTAAGCTTGGTGCCAAGGCATCTAGAGCAGAACCTCAACCTGGACCTTATTTCCCTTTCCCGGTTCCCCGACCAGTAGTGTGAGAGTCTGGGACAAGTGCAGGATCAATCGTAAAAGATAGTAAATATCTAGAGCCCAGTGTCAAGCCACAAACCCACAAAACACCCAGGTGTTTTATGCATGGTAAGCCCAAAGCATCGGGGAACAGATTCCATGACCATGTTGTCGGTACATTGAGATTGGCGGATTAGTGCATTAGCTTAAAAAAAGGTCTAGGTCTCAGTGAACAGCTCTCATTTGGCTTGGGATTGGCCCATCGGTGCCTAAATCTAGGCCTGGAGGACTGCCAGAAAAAAAGAGGGCGGAATTTCCGGAGGGTGCGACGCGATTTGGTCAATTTTTTTTATTATTCCTGCGCGTACTTCGTAGGAATTCTTTTTATTTCGTGGCTGCAAGTCGCATTACACACCCTTGTCCGGCTCACGCGTCTCGACAACGGGTGTTCGGGTGCCTGACAGCTGGGACGTTCATGTTCGCATTGATTCAGATCTATCTTGCTCTGTCTAAGCCGAGTATTGTCTGCCTAGCGTGCCAATAGTACGTGATTCGGGGATCTGGGTTCTAACATATTTCGAACTGATAGAAAGCTATGAGCGTGTGATCTACTCCGTGCCTCGACTTGAATTGATGAATTCAAAGGAATTAGAAAGAATTAGAAATCAAAAGAAAAGAAAAGAAAAGAAATATTATTTTCTCAAAAAAGAAATTAAATACAATTGATAGTAGGATCAGGGATCCTAGAGCGGGCCCCAAGCCTAAGCTACTGCATACTCTTTGGATGCGCTGATGCGCGCATGTTCGCTCCATGCATACTATCATAGAAGGATCTGGGCCCTGAGGCGATCCTGAAGCGCTGAGACTACCGATCGACTGATCGGCGTTTATTCTCCGGATTCTTGCTTTCGCGGTATCTAAATGATATTATAAGTGTGCACTGTCTGACAAGGGTAATAGACAAGGGTCTTTGGGTTGATACTTGGGCGAAGGTGATTGCCACATATCACTGTATGCGTTGGTATATTTAAAGAAGAATGGATGTCCACGTTCATCGAGATACAAGATTGCTTTTCATTGCCGAATTTCACTACTCATAGACCTTATTCGTGAGAAGATGGCTTCTTTGACTGGTCATTGCTGGGCCTATACTCCAGCAGCAAATACCGTTGTTGCTGCTCTTGGTCTCATCCTCTTTGCTCTGCTCTTGGTTGTTATATACTGGAGAAGCCGTCGAGGACGCAGGCATACCGCAGACTTCACAATTACAGAAGTAAGAAGTTCAATCATACTTCAACGGTATTTTCTGACCTCTCTAGGGAAACATGATCAACATCCCTACTTGGACAATATCATATGGTCTGGATGTAAAGCAGCCATATAGGCGTGAATCGTATGCCTTCGAGGGTAAGTAAACATATTTCTAACCCATCAGAGTCGTATCTAACCGGACTCAATCCGCTTTAGATGTGTAAAATGGGAGATCCGACGCAAGGCATCCGGATCTGGTGCTGTGACAGTGGCATTAATGACATGTAAAAAGAAATTAATTAAAATGGCAGGGTATAAATAGGATCTTTCGAGGAAATCATCTAGATTCCATGGTTATCATGACTCGTAGTAGGTTCTTCCGTAATTTAGTGAAGGCAACCGAAACCAACACTGAACCTTGCAATTTTGATATATCTACAAGTCCAACATATCACAAAGAGCAAAAACCAGCAAATTTCCAAGTTTTTCAGCACCGTGCACATCACACACCTCGTCAAGCCTACACGTGTCGATATTGGTATAGACCGCTGTACTTTGGCCAGACCGCCGTACTTTGAGCCAGGCCATTCTGTACTTCTCGCCGGAAGTTTTTTTGTCTTCCCCGAACAAACTTCTGGGTTCCAACGTGCCAAAAGCAGTTCCTGAACGCTGCAGCCGGAAGCGGGGAGAGAGCGATCCGGAGGAAAAAGAAAAAACAAGCGGAACAGATTGTGAGGGATCTATTCTAGTGCAAAAGTCCTATATTGTAGGAACGGCCCGAACAAGGGTCGGATTCCGACAAATCATGCAGTTCGGATATACGATCTACTCGGTTTATTTGGAAATAATTAATCTAAAAAGTCCAGGCGGATGCATAAGCTGAAACACCAGCCCCTATTACTTTTATGTACGGAGTAGGCTGGTAGCCGAGGGGCGTTACGTTGAGGCTAGGACTACGGAGTATGTACTTCGTAGATTAAACGGGGTGCGGCCGTCTCGATTGTCGCTTTATTTGTCCCTTCTAGACCCATACACGCCCTGGTGGTTGTATATAGTGAAATAAATATGCATTACGGACTAGATTATAATACATTGGGCTATTCCACAGGTCCTTGCCCATGGCCATCATACCTGAACGCAAACATTGCACGGAAATCACTTACCAATTATCACTAATTCCCGAGGGCTCCCGATGGTGTATTAGCCCAAGGTGATTCCTATCACAATTGAATGTGCAAGTCCCCAACGCCTTACAATTTTCAGGGCAGGTTGATCCGATCGGGTAATCAGGACACCCGTGTCTAGACCAAATCGGGTATTCATGTTTCAGCTTTGTACCTTTTTACTGTGGACTCCATACAAAAGATACATCAGGTACGGAGTACATCTTAACACTCTAATATGAGTTGATCGGCCTTGGCACGGGTAATCAAAAGCTCTGGGGTGTAATCGGCAGCTCTATCGATTGGCTTCAAGATCGGAGTCGGGAGAATGAAGTAGTTATACCATTACTCTTTTTAGAGCTATAACGGATCGAAGTCGGATAGGTAGTAGGATTGATGAATGTATATAAGTCTCACAAACCCTTTATATCTGAACTATGCTGTCTCTTCAACATCTGCCTCTATTGATAGAGGTCCTACAACCCCCGAAATCTAAAATGGCCCCTCGCACCGTCCTGATCACCGGCTGTTCCGACGGCGGTCTCGGAGCCTCCCTTGCTCTTGCCTTTCACGCGGCCGGTCTGAAGGTCTACGCCACGGCCCGTAACCCCTCGAAACTTGGCCAGGTTACATCCGCCGGCATCGAAACTCTAACGCTAGATGTGCTATCCAGCGAGTCGATCAAGAATGCCGTGACCAAGCTTTCCAATCTCGATATCTTGGTCAATAATGCTGGCGCCGAGTATCTTATGCCCGTAGCGGACGTGGACATTACCGACGCTAAACGCCTATTCGATCTTAATGTCTGGAGTTACATCGAGGTCACGCAGGCGTTCCTGCCTTTGCTGCTGAAGAGTCCCCATGGCGGGTTGATCGTCAACCAGTCCTCTGTGGGGTCTGTAGCCGTACTGCCATTTCAGGGCGTGTACACGGCATCCAAGGCGGCTATTGCTATGTTGTCTGATACTCTCCGGCTCGAGCTGAGCATCTTGGGGATGACTGTTGTCGACTTGAAGACTGGGGTGGTGCGCTCCAACCTAATCAAGAATCAAAAGGAGGCAAAGCCGCCAACTCTTCCAGAGAAATCGATTTATTATCCGGCACGCGAGGTCGTGGAGAAGGCGTTGAGTCAGGATGCCTTTGCTGAAGGAGGGATGCCAACTCTGCAGTGGGCGACGGCTGTTGTGGGTGATTTGCTGAAGAGGAAACCGCCGCCTGTTATCTGGAGGGGAGAGCAGGCTTGGGTTGCGAGGCTGATTAGTGTTCTTCCGTTTGGGACGTTCGATGGAATGCTGAAGAAGTTGACAGGGTTGGATGTTGTGGAGAAGATTATGAAGGTTGGAGCAGGAAGGTATTGACGGAGAGGAGTTACTAGTCCGGTTTGGTTCTGCTACCGTTGACACTCTCTAGCATGGCTCTTGATATCATATACCAAACCCATCCTATAAGGTACCTGAATTTAGACCTGAATTTAGTCCAAAACAGTAAGTAATGCGTTCTTAAAAAATCCAAACCATGCTGTACCTAAGTATATATATCCCCTTATTGAACCACTGTCTTCCTAGTCCTACAATGTAAACTAGCTCCACGCTGTACGAGGGCCTGCACGCCCGCCTCAAACCCAGTATCGACCGCAATATGCAATGGCGTGCGCCCGCCACAATCATAAGCATCAATGAGCCCGTGGTTACCGACGCAATAATCCAACAGAATATTCAATATTGCCTCATGGCGATGACTAACTGCCAAATGCAGCACCGAGCGGCCTTGTCGGTCGACCTTGCCTATGCGCGCTCCATGCATGAGCAGCAACGCGACGACATCTTCATGACCGCCGATCGTTGCATGGATTAAGGGCGTGAGCCCATCGCCGTCTATCTCATCACAGTCGATATCCTGCTGGAGCAGCACGCACATGATCCGGTGGTGTCCCTTCTGCGCGGCTATATGGAGCGCGGAAAGTGAGCCTGGGTCTGTGTTGTGGTTATTTGTTGTCTTGGGAAGAACTGCGCTGGCGCTGTCAGCACTGGCGGGTGTTGGTTCATCTGTTAACGGCTTCGGGAGAAATATTGTGTGGGATGTGTCTGGTGTAGTTCTGTGACTGCTGCTTCTTCCGTCTGTATTTGCTAGAGAACCTGGATGCATGGGACTGGAGTCTCGATCGCTGGGGTAGAGGGTATGCTCAGTGGAACCGGTGTTAGATATGCCTGGTGACGGGCCTGAAATGAGACTTGACAGGGGCGATTCCTTCAAATCGTCCATGTTTATGAAATTCTGGATGCCGATCAGTCCATTGGCGCCGCCTTGTAGGCAGTTGACGCCAAACCCGAAGGGCGGGGATTTGACAGGGCTCGGGTGTGTCGGCCTGATTCCAGACGAGAAATTAAAAATCTTGGATGGGTCATCGGTCGCTAATATGGGTGGCTCTAGGGTCTGTTTAGGTGGCTGATTTGCGTTGGCCTTCTGGCTCTGTCGTTCTGGGGATCTGATCAGTATCCCGATGGATGATACGGGAGATTGATTGGCCACTCACGACGAAATCTGCGTTGGGCCAAGCGATTCTGCGCACGACGATGCTCGAGGGTGACCTTTCTTTTCACCTCCATCTAATTTGTATGTAAGAAGTGAATGCGTTGCGTCTTATTGTTTCTGAAAGAGATACAATCGGATTTTGAAATGAAGAGAACAAAGGGGCCAAAACGTACACGCCATCATGGGGCAGGTTAGCGCTTACCTTTCCCAATGTTATAGCTATAGTAATAAAGGGAAGAAACTACCTAATAAAAAATAGATCCCAGGAAATCTCTGGGAAGACATCTAAAAGGACATCTAGAAGGACCACCAAAAAGTCTTTACAAGACTTAAGTCAACTAAACTTCTCTTGCATTTCAAGACTGACTAACGTATTAATACACCATACTAATTGCAAAAATCACATCTATATCCACACTGACTCTTAGAGCTTGTCTTTTCTCTTAGCTTTATGGGTTGAACCGTCTGTCTACATCTACATCGAAGTAAAAAAACAACCATTAGTTGGTTACCCTTTCAATTAATTCATACAGTAGCCCACCAAACGATCATCGATCCTTCACTTTGGAATTGTTGCAACTGAATACCGGAACACCATTCAGTAAGAAAAGCAAAGGATCTCAAAGCTCAACTAGGCCACAGAAAAGATGAAAAGAACATATTCGGCCAGACCATAAATGAGAGCTGGCTGAGGCCCGTAGAAAGGCAAATCTACCGTAACCCAGACTCTGCAATTGAGATGCCAATTACTGGCGGTGAGAGCGGTTGGAAGAAACCGAGCGAGTAGCGTTCACTTTCGGTTGCTGGATTGTCGTAGGGTCAGGCATGGAAAACAGCCGACCTGGAGCTTGCTGGGGTGTTAGGACACTATTTGAAGTACCCAAAGACCGATTCTCAGTATCAATATTTGCGGACTGGGTGGAGGAGGTGCGAATGCGAGCTCCTGCCGCTGCACGCAATGTGGTCGGCTCATACACAGAAGGAGCAGGACCAATTACGCGGGGCTTGAATGGTGCCGGCCCAATTGTTCGCACACCAGTTGGCTGAAGATTCATGGAGTCTCCATCCTGCTGCTTGGGAATATTTGGATGGTTTAAGCCCAACGTCCGAGTTGCGGTCTGGGATCGTATCGCATTAGTGTCGTTCGAAATGACAGGGCCGACAGGTCCTGCAAAGATGGAATCATTAAGAGTCAGTGGCTTTTTTGTCGCCTCCTTTGGGTGTGATCCCAGAGCAGGAGTAACCTGAACAGACGCGTCGGAGGTAGTGGTCCTCTTTGGAACCTTCAGATCACGAAGAACCGGAGTTGGGATGGCCCGTTGTGGTTGCAGGGGTGCAGCAAGTTTGCTCGAAACCTGGAGAGATTCGAACTGGGAGATAATGTCTGGACTGTCACTCCTGGTTGGCGAGAGGCCGGGCACATGTACCTTGTGTGTGCGTTTATCCGCAGAAGGAGGAGAGTTTGAACTGGAAGAAGGCGGCGGTGGCGATCGATGCCCATCAAAGGGGGTAAGATCGCGCCTGGCAGCTGGAGAAGCTTCAACAGCATTAATCCCTTGCTGTTGTGCTGCACGAGCTTCGATAACTGCAATGAGACTATTCAACCGAGCTTCCATCTCTGAGGATGAAGGTGCCTCAGGTGGTGCAGATGTGGTAGGAATCAACTGGAGCAATTTTGATTCCAGTATGCGCTCGATATCCTGAGTAGTAGGCAAATCTTGGCGCGAATTAATGGAATGAATGTGCTTACGGATATCGCGAAGTTCCGTAATAATCTGTTGGCCCATATCTACGCCTTCAAATCCTGGACTCTGATCATTGGGGCGAGATTGGGTTTCCGGGACCTCAATGTTCGGTATTTTCTGGGAAATGACTTCATCAATGCTCTGGACTGGCACCGACTCCCCGGTCATTTCGGCAAACTGGAGACCTGCCAATTCTGCAGCACCGGGACTCTGGATAGCCACTGTCTTCAAGGGACGACGGGCTGGTTTTGCCGTATTAACTAGAGGGTCATCCTCGCTCAGCAGATCCCGAGGCTGGGCTTTCTGCTTGCTTTTCCCCTTCTGGCTGCCAGGAGTAACATTCTGTTTGCTGTCTTTAAGTTCAGTTGCCTTGAAGACAGGTGTGTTCTTAGCCTCAGTGACGGGCATCAAGTGTTCAGCCGAGTCTGCTTCCTTGCTTGGAGAAGCCGTGCCCTTCTTCCGTGGCTGCTCACCGGGCGAAACCTTCCACTGAATTTCATCAGTAGTAATTGAGCCCACTTCTGGATAAGGAACCTTGGAGGTATTCCCCTTATTCTTTGCCTTTTTCGATTTGGCACTCTGATGCATAGATTTAGAAGGAGATGCGGTGGGGCTTTCCACTGGAGGGGATTTGGTATCCAGCTGAGGTGATTTGGGCGTGTTAGGCGGGCCCTTGCTGGATTTGAAAGCTGCAGTCTTATGAAGAGGAACAACATGAGCTGACGGCGATGGTGCCACCACTAGGTAGGGCCCAATATGCGGCAGAGAAATATCGGTTGGAGTAGCCTGGGTCTTGGTGGACTGTGTAGTCTTCTCAATAGGGTCAAAGTGAGATAGGCTCTTCGATGGACTGCTCAGAAGAGCTTTGGCCCTTGGCTCGTTAGGCGGAATGGATTTCTGCACAGATGGAGTCTTCTTCATTGGAGCAGAGGCTATTGTATCGATAGACGTTGTGTACGATTCGGTTGCTCGGCGAGACTGAAACAAGGACATGAAGTCCTCAGGCTCAGAGATTTTAGCGGCGAAGTTGGCGCTGTTCAAGAGATCAGCATGTAGATTTCACCAAATGAAGTATGATCACTCACGAAGGAGGCGGCCGCTGTACTCTGCTGGGGGCGAGAGGGACTAAGAACATTGTCAGCTGTATTCTCTTTCTGCACCTGTCATCAAAACGTACTGTGAACCTGTCCTTGGGTGTTGCCCTTGCCCTTGCTCTTATTTCGTCCACGTGCCCTGCCTCGGTCACGAGCATCGCTGTCATTGTTGTTGCAGTTCAACGCAGGGTCCAAATGAATACCGGCTGACATTGTAGTCGAGCGGCCGCGCGGTCCTGGACGTCCCGAGCGAACGGGATTTGCATAAATGGAGGCTCTATAATTTCTCTTCTGTCAATTGGGATTCCTTTAATGTCAAAGTATATCAATTTACCTTGGAGCATGATGAAGACTAGCAGGTGCCATGGGGGGTGGGGGAACAAAACCACCTCGTCCTCTCTTTCCTATGACACCGCCACCACGACCGGCAGATGAAGCAGGATAAGGATGATTGGCATAAGTTCGCAGCTGACTTCCATTGGGATGCAACATGGCGTGTAGATTAGCTCGGTGAGACTGGCCGCTCTCAATGTCATCGAGTTCTTCTGTTCCGTGAATATCTCTGATCTCGGCATGTAAATCTGCGACAAGGATTAGTACATAGCCAGAGAAACCCGTGGGCGTTTTTTCTTCAATACTTACTTGCCCATTTGCCCAATTGAGCTGTATCTCTCTGATCGACCTGTCGGTTGGATTCAATCCTGGCAAGCTGTGTGCGAGCCTGATTCTGAAATTCACCGGTGGAAATTACGTCACGCCGGGCGCTTCCTAGGTCGGCCTATTGAAGTGGTTAGTTGGAAAAGTCAGAGAAGAAATGAGAGATTAGATATTACCATTTGAAGAATTTGCATCTTGCGGAGCTGCTCCGCGGATTCAGCCATCTTGCCGGTGCGCTTTCCGCAGTGGGTGAAGCGTCAATAACGGTAAAATGAGCAGTCAGATACAAATACGTGACAGGTTGTCAACGTGTCACCGGGATGGGAATATGCTTTTGTTGGAGAAAGCACGGTTAGATGAGGAAGGAGTGAGTAATGAGAAAAGGAGACGATGTCTCCCAGACATAAGGTATCTGAAGATCAAGGTGACCCCAGAGACAGTGGGCCTTCAAAGGAAGGACAGAAGTGAAACGAAGCTTAAATTTCGAGCAAGGTCCCCGAGGGACCAACGACAACTCCGAGGACCTGGGACTCTTCTCAAAGCGAAAGAGACAAGTGCCAAGCAGAGTATGAAAGCCTGAAACAAGTGAGAACCGCTGGAGGTTCCAAACGAAAGAAGCAAGAGAAAAACACAAGGGGAGAGAGAGCTGTAAAAAGAAGAAAGAGAGGCGATGAGATGAGGATAAATAAAGGAACTGCCAGCGCAGGTTGGAATCACTTGGGATAAAAAACGCGGCGCGTCTGTGAATGCACAAACAAACACAATATTGCTTCTTTGGGTAGCAACGAGTCCGCATACTGAGTCTCGACTTCTGCATCGCACCTTCCGTCGAAGATCTAGCACGTGGCATCGGAAGCTGTATTGGAGCACGTGGGGTGGCGAAACCCTCCAGATATGTATATTTCAAGATCCATTGATTGAAATCATTGAGTTGTGGGATGAGAGAGAGCGAGCGGAGTTGTAAGAGAGGAGAAACGAAGCTAACGGATTTCAAAGTCGAAATAGCGAGGCCGAAATACCAAAGCGCACGTGCTCAGTCTCTGCCAGAGCACGTGGATGATATACTTCATCTTGCTCCCTCTAACTTGAGAGTATATATACATACTACCTACATGTACCTAGGCGTATAGTAGCTATCGAAGTACCTGTTACCTGTCTTGAGACATCGCAATTCACTCCTACATAGACAGCGGCACATAGCAATTTTTGAATGAGAGGATTGTAGCGTATGACATTGCATAACAGCTAGCTGTTCAAAGTGGATACATATTTACATAGGAACACGGCCCAGAATCTTCCCAAGAACACTGGGGTATAATCATCGCCGCCATCTGTGGAAACGCCTCGAAAACAAATCCTTCTAAGGTGCACTGCAACTATGAGCCTCGCCGTCATCTGCAAATAGTAACCAATGTTAGTATACTTAATGAGGGTGCGACCATTTCCCAGGACAGACTTACTCCGAATGATCTTGACGACCGCCTGCACTACACTGACGCCCATCACAACTACCCCGAAGCAAATACATAGATACTCTGGAATCTTCTCTCGTCGTGAAGCACTGCTAAGCTTGATGTAACAGAGAGGAGGGAATATATAGGCTAGAGCAGCAGCACTGGTTGCGCCAATGAGCTCGAACACACTTCCCAAGTCGCAGGTTATCAAGGACAGAATCATCGCAGTCACTACCAGCGCCGTTGTGAAAACAATGTGTCGAACGGGGTTGTGTGGTTCGTCGGGGAAGTAGTAGGTTATCATGACGGAACGGCAGACGAACGCTTCAAGGGGTAGTGTGGTCAACATGTTGAGGCCAAAGCAACTAGTCGAAGTCAGTCAAGGAACTCCATATCAAGATCAATGGGAAGACTGTACAATCGCGCGATGTTGACGACGATATTGTCTGATGGAAAGTTGTTCAGAACGTTGCCCTGGGTTTTAGACCCGAAGGACAGGAACCCTGCGATACCCATTGCTAGGCACATCGCCAGAGAGATTCCTGTCGAGTAATGTGTGACCCGGGTGAAGCGGTCGAGTGTCGGTCTTTTCAATGAGCCGTAGATCAAAAGACTGTTGTGGTCTGTGGAAATTAGCGATTGTGATATCAGTTGGATAAGAATGGAACATACGACAAACAAATGCTGTGGTTGTTAGCAGGCTTTACAATGATTGACAGGGACAGTTAAGACATACCAAAAGAAATGACCCCGACAGCCTGGAAAAAGCCAGTGTTGAATATGAGGTGGCTTTTGATCTCTCCGCGCGATTCAGGCGGGACCCGAAATCCCTGACTTATGACCGCAACGACAATGACTATCATGCTGATCAATGCCAACGCGGATGCTTTCGCCAGCTACCTGACTGTTAGTCTCTGACAAGTACATAGTAAGAAAAGGAAAGAGCTGACCTTGGCGATGTCTCTGTACAAAGACAATGGGTATGAAACAACTAGAACAAAGATAACGATAACGGCCCGGCGATCTGTGAAGAGCCACAGGAAAGACATATCCCTAAGAGACGGAAACAAAGCACCTAGAACGTGTGGAATAGTATCGCCAACAATAATACAGAATGCGACCATGCCGCCGAATGCAAATGCCCACTGCGCAACCGAGATTGCAATGAGACCGCTTTTCCCGAAGCAATGCTGCATAGTTGCCTGAAAAGAATCGGCCCCACTCAATTTAGAGTTGATCACAATCAATCGGATGGTCCAGTCTACTGTGATGGTCAAGGCAGACAGCAGCAAGATGCCCGTTGTCATACCTGCTTGACGGAGCGCGTAAGGTTGCCCAATGATTCCCGCCCCGATAATGCTGTTTGCCATGTTCATGAACGCCATTTTCATCCCACTCCGCGGCCGCGCATTTTCGAGATGATCTTCGGGGAAGAAATCGTCCGATGTTGCAAGCGTCACACTAGGCGCTTCAATGTTTGTGAGAAGAGGAATTGATTGTCCACTGTGGTGTGTCCCTGGGCCCTGATTTTCAAGTTCATAGTCTTCATCCTCCAGCCATAGCGTGTCATCTGGACTATCGTCTGGGCTAGGAGTTCTCTCAATTGAAACGCGATCGGAGTCTTCGGGTTCTTCCTCTATGTCAAATCGAACTCGATTCATGGTCCGTGGCGTACGGGGCTTTCCATCGGCTGTAGGTTGAGAGATTGAGGAGTGGCGTTTGCCATTTATCGCGTTACTCGGGGGGATCAGCGACGGAAGAGGCTCCGGGTGGAACGCTAGATCTTGCTCCTCACTTGAGGTAGAGAGTAGTGATTGAGCTTCGTGTTCATCCTGGGCATTCTGAACACGCAGGTGATCCTCTGAGAACTCATCCCCTGGCATCGCTGACCGTAGATAGTTGGAAGTGTAACGGTTACTTTCAGGCCACCTGGATGGGGGCTGCACGTGATAGCTTATCGATAAGAACTTCTGTGGTACGATAAGGGATACCAACGGTTTGCCACGTGCATGTACTCCACTGCATCCATGGATGTATAACTCCAGGGCTGCCCAGGTGCTTCCAAATGGGTCTGGCGAATGATAAATTATTATATGTACATATGTAGAGAGGAATGCAAATTAATTCATATATGACTTTAATGATCTGATTTATCTGGCTCAGGATAATATAAAGATCAATATATGTAAGATAACATTAAGATGTCTTTTCAGATTTACTTCTCTTTTTTTTACAGTCTGTTCCTTCGCCTTAGTTCTTTCATCTTTTACTGATATTTTCAGGTGTCATTTTAAGCAAACTGTATAGATTATTCCACGGCATATTCTATATCTTCTATTTTATTAGGAAAAAATGGTGAAACTAAAGCATCGAAAGGATAGGCTATGGTTATAAATCCCCTAGAGCCAGTCAATCAAACTTTCTAACAATTCAAACAAATGACTCCCTTTATTTGCAAAAGTAAAACAGAGACTACTCACGCAACACAACTTCGATGATGCTGCGAAGGTTATCCAGCCCGATAATTCTTTCAATCCGGAAGTCTGTCCCTTCCATAAGAGCATGCCATTGCTTCACACTGCGCTCTTTGCCAGCGATGAAAAACATGTTGATATCATAAAGAACCTTTTGTGTATCTGGCCGTATATTTGATAGAACGATATCGCAAATGAGAAGTTTCGAGTTGTAGCCCCTCATTGCCGGCGCCAAGTTTCGGAGAATCGTTCTGCATTCGGCGTCTTGCCAGTCATGCAATATGAGCTTGAGTAGATATGCCGCGGCACCTAAAGAACATGAATAAATGAGCGGTATATCGAGTTGAAATCTAACTCTGTCCACCTACCTTTGACGGGCTGCACCTCTTCAAAAAAGTTGTAAGGTTGTACTTCAACGTTGGGGGGACATACCCTATCTCCAGCTGTAATGACCGCTGGCAAATCCTGGAGGACATAGCGTCCCTTGAGGTTTGGATGTGAGGATTGTACGCTCTGGATGCTTTGGCCTTTTCCGCCGCTAATGTCGACTAGGACGACATCATTTTCCTCGGCTTGAAGGCTGCTAAAGTCATATAGGTCACCCAAGTTGTCTTTGAAACTTGTCATAGCTTCATTGAATGTCGTTACAGCTTTGGGATCTTGCTGGAGTATACTGAAAAAGTCCATGTTCTTGGCCCCCTTCGAAAATGCAAAAGGCGTGTTAAATCGATCAGAGGGGCTCACGAAACCCGTGGTGTTGAAAAAATCAATATATGTCGACATGGGTCTAAAAACATTATCCCATGAGTGTCTGGTATATGACTGCATAAACTTATTGGTCCATTCTTGAGACAATGCGGTCTGCTGAAATGTATCCTCTCCAACCTCTTCGAAAATTTCCAATGCCCCTAGAGCGCGCGCGATACGCCCAGTGAATTCCACGTCTGTCCCTGCCCGCTTGGCTAGTTGCTCAACTGTGAAAGGAGCAGAGGTTGGTAAGTTGTCAAAAAGGCGCATCTCGATGGCTAGCCTCACACAAAGAACCTTGTGAGGTTGGAAATGAAATGCTATCAGAGACTGTCTCGGTTGCACTGCACATTGTGCAAGCTTATGGGATGTCACATGAATGATTTTTAGAGCTGATACTCTCTCTGACTTAGACTCAGCTTGCGAATATTGCAATATTGCCTCGTTGATAGTGGATGCAAGGGAGGTGAGTTTGACAGACGAAGGCTCGTAGTACACTTCTTCAAAGGTCATGTTGGCAGACTTTGATAATTTGGAGGTGATCAGGATACCGCAGCAAAGAACAGTTAAAGTCAGGATATATAGTACCTCAGCTATGTCAAATAAGGTCCATGGGCCCTAGAGATATATATAGGGCTAACACTTATCTCTTGGGATAGATCGTGTTACAGGGCCTTTTCCGCTATCTTCCACGCAAAATGCAGCTGAAAACCCAACAGATGAAGATGGCCATTCTGTCAAGAGAATGCATCATTAACTATGTTGTGGCTTGCTGAATTGAAACTAGGGGTTAGCAAAATTTCTCTACTTGATATACTGATCGGCATTATTACCAATACATTGATGTTGACTACCTACATCTGATGACTTGGGGCGTTGTCGGCTGATTTGGCTGTAACTTATCCATGAATGTGGTATGTGGCTGTGGCTAAATTGAGGGTGGCTGGCTCAGCCATATCTACTGGTTACTGTGTGTGCATGTAGAATACGTCGTAAAAAGAAAAAAAAATCAATGTGCACTTAGTAGTGCCCAAGCTTATGCATGCTCCACGAGTGTCCCGAGGTCTCCTAGCTGCTGATGTGATAAGATAGTAATTGGACGATAAAGGAAAATATGATGAGCTGAATATATTGTGTGGATCTATGCCAAGTCGTTCACAAATCGAGAGAAGTTTAGTGCTGGAGCTATAAACCAATCCACACTAGCTTCCAAGCTTATCACCAGCGAGTGTGGGTCGTAACTCCAGTAGTATATTTGGGTAAGTATACATGTATGTACATAATGCATCGTGTGGAGCTATGAAGAATGGCATTATCATTCCAATAAAGCGTGTAAAATTAGACACGAGATAGAGAAAGCTAGGAGAACCATTCTAATTTTTGGAGGAACATTCGGCTGTAACCCTCATTTTTTTTAAGGTATGGCGCTCGTCTCAAATTATTATGGGAACAGATAAACAATAGGGATACAGTCCATTATTTGTGGTGAGTTACTACTCCGTACATACACCGATATAAAACTTGATTTTCCCATTTAGCTGGCTCCAGTAGGGATCTACAAATATTGCCAGCATGTCTCCATAACAAAGCTCGGCAGTGTCGGACTTGAATTAATCCTTAGTCCTTTATATCGTTGTGTATACTCCGTACCGTGGATTGTACAACATAGACAAATGAAGAATAATCCACTGAGAAAACATCTCTGTGATTCGACCATTCCTTGAATCGATGCGAACCATTTCTTGATTTGCCTGCATATATAGTTTCTTTCTTTGCGCTTCCCGATTGGTGATGAGCTACCGGCAAACACGGCCTAATATGTGAGGCCAAATAACAAAATGGTCCTATTTCGATGCATGTGACGAACTGAGTTGTGGCGAGCTGAACGCCTGCCCGGGGAACATCCATTTTTGTTAGTTTTTACGGATGAGTACTCCGTCCCACGTCACCCCTGCGGAGTGTAAGATCACGCGACAGGGGTGTGCAGGGCTACGATAAGGTGGATTTACAGGCTGAAGGTTCTCATAAATTATGTCAGGGCTAAATGAGTTCATCGATCATAGATAGACATTTTCTTAAATGAACCCGCATACCGTGCTGTAGATGCTCTTGATTTATTCTAACCATCTTCCTGAAGCGTCCATATAACTTCGACTACACTTTGAAAATGACCCAAACACAGAATCCCTTAAAAGACTATTGGTCTACGGAGGTTTGTGACCATGGACTCTTGCGCTGGCTGTCTTGTATACGCTGACCGAATCTAGGCATACGCAGCTGCGGCTTCTTTTGTCCCCCATTTTGCTGACACCCTGATCCAAAGTATAGAATTCAATCCCACAGATAGAGTTTTAGATATTGGATGCGGTGATGGCAAGTTTACCACTAGTTTTTCTCCCTTGGTCAATTACGTTATGGGCGTTGACTCTTCTCCGTCCATGATCAACACGGCCAAGACATTAGACTACGGTGGAGCGGCCACAGATTTCCGCGTTATCGATTGTCGGCATCTTGAGGATGATGCAGATATCATGAATGGAAACTGGGATAAAGTGTAAATATTCATCTTCCTGCTTTCTGGTGGAACCTAGCTGATAAAATTCCAGCACTTCCAATGCTGCATTCCATTGGATCTTGAAAGACCCATCTACCCGTATCTCCACATTGGAGAATATCTTCAAATCAATGAAGCCCGGGGGAACGTTCTTCTTTGAGATGTGTGGACATGGAACTGCACCAGAAAAGCTCACGGCATTTATGTTTGCTCCTGTCAACCATGGAGTCCCAATTGAGACAGTGGAGGCTATGTGTCCCTGGCTTTATCCGTCAGATGTCTATATGAAGAGCATTCTAGAGAGAGTTGGGTTTCAGATCAAGATGATTGAACTCAACCCACAACCATTAGAGCTAACTACATCTAAGAACGGTGGACTGGAAGGATTCATGAGACTGATCGGAGCTCAGATGCTGGATCTTTTGGACAGCGAGGAGAAGAAGAACAGTGTAATGGAGCAGATATGTCGAATCCTGCGGTACAGCACCACAAGGGAAGATGGGAGCCAATGGATCACATATGCTAGTCTAAGATGTGTTGCTGTTAAGCCGTGATCAGAGCTCAGCAACAATAATTTCAAACAAGATCTATACCAATAATTTAGCTTTTTCACTGAGCCTATGCCATAAGTACAAAGCCCAAAATAATAAGCAGTAAAAGTAAATTGATATATAAGAATTGGGTACAGGCATTCTCAGGCCACGGGCCTTGAAAGTCATGTGCGCTGTCCATGTACTGTAGGATCATATCCACACCCAGTCCAATTCCATTCCCGCTTTAACCCCCCACCAATAGCTAAATTACTCTTTCAGATGACCACTCAGGTCTCAAAAGAATGATATAATATCTTGGTGACAAGCCCCCTCCACAATGGCACAAAAACTCGACTTGGGTCAATCCGCTCTGCGAATCCGAGATTCAAACTTGCAGCTCCATCTGGCCGCATCGGCCCATTTCAACCAACGATTAAGTCATGGAGCCCCCCAAATACCAATTGACCTCTCGGGATCGCCAAATCTTGAAAGTGTATGGATAACGGAGGCGCCAGAGCTGGAGTTGCGCTTCTTCATCGGGGGAAATTGGGATCAAAATGAAAAGGCGGCATTCGTATCAAAGTTGAGAGGCAAACTGTGTGATATGAAGGTGTGTGCAAGAGAGTATTTCCAAAATTGGAAACTGATTATTTCTTGCTCTAGATCTGGTCTGATCTGGGATTCTCGGTTGAGCTCAAGACGGGTGCACTTGAAAATTGCATTGACGCTTCTGCTTTCCACTGCCTCAAACTTGGTCTGTGTAGAGGGTGTCGAGTACAAAATCTCACAACGGGTTGGACTTTGCCCAGCTCGATGACCAATCCCCCAGATGCGCGTCCTCCCCCGGGTGTACCGGTAGCTACTTTGGCTTCAATTGACGTTCGGCTGGAGTACCGCTTTGAGGCCAAGGATAAACTACAAGCCCAGAACTGTTCCAAGTTGGAGGTTGGTCTTCTTGGGCACGCATCCTGGGATTTCCCCGGTCATCAACTGCTAGGGACAATGGCAGAACTTCCAATCCTACAACAAGTACACAATGAGGGCCCCTATGAAACTCTTGAATCACAGTCTTCTTGCATATCTGGAGGGAGATCAAACCCATCACATGAGGAACTCTTCCGGCTGTTTGACCTTGGAATTCAAAGACTGCTCATTTCCAACTTTATCAAAGATCCGACGATTCGTGTCCCACAACAGGCCACAATCAAGAGCTTCGCAGATATATCTCCCGCGGTGTTCAATCCTGGATATCGGGATGTGAGTTTTCGGTATCAGTCATGTAGATCAAACACTAATTTTACACAGGCGATCAACCAGCGAGCATTGACAATTCCAATAATCACGAAAGCCATATCATCTATGCTGGCGGGAAACAAAGATCCATCCACCAATGCTAAATTAGCAGATTTGTTAGGGCTCACTCACTCTCAAGGCACGGATGGCTTCACGACACAACCTCAAGTTTCAGGTTGCAGGGCTGCGATCCTCTCATCGCTTTGGCGTATCGCCCAGAAAAATATGCCCAAGATAAAGACAATTAAAAGACGAGCTTCGATGCTCCCTACAGAGCATGTATCAAACAGACAGGCTGGATCAAACGATTCCGTGCGTCACATGTCTACGAATCAAGTACAATTCGAGAACGGAAATCCCGGGCTGCCTCAGTCTTTTGAAACACAGGATCATGACCAGAATGAAGAAAGTGACATGTGTTTGTTGAATAGCGAATCAGATGATCAGCTTTTGGACAATTTCAGTGAGACAAGCTTCACAGACATTGGGGAATCGACTCAAACATCCCTTAATACATTATTATCAACTATTGGGTCTTCTCAGACTTCGTATGGTGATCATGATACTATGCTTCTCTTGGATCATGGTCAATTGGCAGATTACCCGGGAAACTATGGGACAGATTATGATCCTGGAGAAGATATGGACAATACAGATATTATAATGGCTGATGATCTTTAGATTCTTTGCATAATACTTTTGTTGTGATGTATAATAACGTCTAATTGATGATTATGACCCTTCAGTGAAATTACCCAAAGATCCCGGATCGATCCCGGGGGTGAGTAGATCCGATCATGTTTCTCTTCTTTTTCCTCTATCTTTCGGTTCTATTTTTTTAGGCTTTTGCACAGTTTTTTGTAAGTATTCTTAGTTGTTAACTAACACTGAAGCCTATATAACAAACAAACCCTACCACTTCGCCTTCGACACCGTGATAAAATTATATGATAGTATGAATTTTTAGGCATTTTAAATGAAAAGAAACTGGTCAAACTAAGCTACATATCAAAGAGAGTGCATATATGTGTGTAATACGTTTATGATGAAGATGGGTGGATTTATAAAGTAAAAGGAAATGCAGAAATACATAGTAAGTCCAAGGTTTTATATAGAGACGCTAACAAAGATATTCAGAAGAGGGAAGTTGTGAATTATGCATTGATATACCTATTACAAAGTTTGCTAAATTCGAAAATTGATCATTGATTACTCCCTAGTGAGCGTACAAACTGGATATGTTTTGCTTGATGTGTACCCTACGTGACATTGGAACACAAGTATGTACTTCGTAGTAAGGGTTTGGTGAAAAAGACAGCTTAAACTGGCGTCCGAGGATTCAATTAGCGTTGTATCTAAAATGCGCCTAAGCGTAGATATTTCAATCTATTTCCAAAATCTCACCACAATTCTCTTTATTTTTCAAAATGGTCGAAAAGCTGAGTTTATCTGCCTGATTTGTCCTGGTTCGTATCTCTCAATGAATTCTTCGTCCAATAGTCTAAACTTGGTACCAGCATACATCCGGTATTCTTCTAGGATGTTCTCCAGTTTCCATCCTTGAAGTCTTCTGAAACAGCCGACAACGCACCCTGTGCGGTGCTATTTAAGTATTTAGTGAATGCCGCAAAATATGTGTTTGAATATGGAAACTTACCTTCCCGTGGTTGCAATGAATCAGAATAGGGTGGTTTTTCCTATCAAGGAGAATTTTCATGACCATATTGATATCCTCGCTGCATTCGTTCGTCTCGTTCGAGTCCTTGTTGGGCTTTAAGGCCAATAAGTAGACGTTTATTCCATTGACTTGAATAAATTCGTTTTCGGCCTCATTATATGGAGTTTTGACTAATTTACTACATATATGCTGTTAGTCAAAGAACATTAGACAGAGCGAAATTCTTCATACATAATAGTTTTTATTCCCTTTAGATGAGTTTTGTGGAGACCCACATGTGGAAATGCCGATCTGTAAATGCCTGGTACAACTTCTCCAAAATTGTTAGGGCGCGTGATGTTTGCCATGGGAACCTATAGAATAGATAATTGGTATTGATTGGTAGCCAGTGGAAACCGTGAAATCACAGAGTAAGCAGAGGGGTAGATGCTGATAAAAGGAAATAGTCGTTGACATGATTCTAAACACGTGGATGGATTTGTACAAATGATTGGCATAGAACAAGAAGCAGCGAAAGACGAGGAAGATGAAGGATAGTATTCCGACGAATCAACAACTTCAGATCAATATAGGAACAGGGGTGTAAGCAAATACTATGCTTTTATTTTCATAGATGCATGCCCAAACAAGTCATACGATACCATCATGGTATTAATGCTATAGCAGCTTGGGCAATCTTAGAAGAACTTACTTTATGACACACAAAGAAGTAAAAACTAAATCTCCATTATCAGGCTCGCTTACTTCGGAACAAAAATCTAATACTCATGTACACCCCAAAATACTACCAGAATTGTCTTTATAACCAATATGGTTGCAGATGACGGTTCGATGGTTTCAAGACCATATATTGCCAATCGGCGACATCCAATTCATCAGTAAGCTCATTGATAAAACCAGGCTCACATAGTATGGCTAGATGGGTTCCCCATCAAGATGTTGAGCCTTATGACCGGCATATAGCCGGTGTTCTTCCGGGTTCGCCTCCACTTTCCATTCTAGGCCTCCTTCAAAGTATCCGACAACGCACCCGGTGCGGTGCTGTTTTAGTAATTAGTAGAGACCTCAATGGTGTTATTGAAAATAGGGGATAATACCCTTCCATCATTACGGTGGATAAACACCGGATGGTTTTTGATATCAAGCAGTTTCGCCACAATGGCATTGATCTCGTCAGGTACCTTGGTTGTGGCCCTTGTTTGGGGTTAGAAGAAACGTGGTGACCTGGATTTTATCAGCGATGATAACGTCCCGTCCAGGCTTGCCGTAGGGGGTCTCGACTAGTTTACTATATACTTCTGTTAATCAAAGAACGTTCGACAACTAAAGGAACTGTCCGCAGAATTTGTAGTTTTCAGACTATTGAGATGCTTAGCGTAGAGTTCGGTATCCGGGAATGTCGATAAAAGTGTGGCACAACATTCTCAAAATTGTTGGAACCTTCAGTGTTCGACATGACTAGTTATAGGATAGATAAACAACAAAATCCGTTATGAATCAGTAACTGATTTTATGCACTCACAGATGGCGTGGAAGAGTAGCAGAATGATGAGGGATGAGCCTAGTGGTAGGCCTTCGTCAAGCTTGTATACGAAACCGCTCAGTGATCGTGAGACATACATAGATGGATATATTCCAAAACCATTCTAACATCTTTCAATACCAAAATATCCGTACACGATGATGTGCCAGTAGGGCTGCAAGGCTGGTCGATGGAATACCCCGCTTTGGTCGTCATCCTTTCGGTTTCTGTCTAGGAAGACATCGTCTCTCGGTCGGACAATCTTGTCTGTTTCAAGGATCCATACGCAAATATGGTCGTTATATATGCATTCTGGATCCTAGCAGATATATAAGAGAAGAACAGTTGAAACTGACGCGAACATTGGATTCCATCTACGATATGTCAGTACATATAATATAGTAGAACTACGTGAGAGTTGAGTTCTTGCATATCGACACAGAACTCACACATGAGAAATAATATAATGAACACGCATCTGGATGGTGTCTCTTGGATCATACCGTTTGTTGGATAGACTCTTCATCAAGAGGTGCGAACTTGTGACTAGAATATAGCTAGTGTTCTTTGACCGATATTCTTTGACAAAGCCCAAGATATGCCACCCCTAGACAGTTCTAAGGCAGCCGAAGGCTATCCAGTGCGGTTCTATAGAAGTGTTTGATAAATGCCCCAAGATATCTGTTATTCAAAATAGGGAAACTGACCTTTCGTGGGTTACAATGAGACAAACACCTTGTAGGGACGGGGGATTTCTGTTTTTGAGGAGGATTTCTATGATTGAATTGGCAACCTCGCTGCGCAACCTTTCTTGAGCAAAGAGCAAAGGGCAATGCAAGCAGTGTGGCAGGAGGGGGGTTGACAGAAAACTCTGCAAAAATGGCGGTCATAGCCATCAATGTCAAATAGATGAGGTTTCCAGCTTCAATCAGGTTATCGTCCATCAGACGACCTGTGAAGGCACAGTATAATCTATAATATCACTTCCATGATATTCTTATAAGTAGTATAGTAGTAATTATTAGAGAAGGAAGGTGCTGCTACCCAGTATACTAATCGAGGTTCTTCACCTGTTGAAAACATTGATGGAGACAAGGATTTACAGGCTATGGATTTATATCTCTACAGAAATTACATAATGTGTTTGACAATAAAACATGTATGGTGCAAGTAATAGGATGGGCCAAGCAGCGCCTGCAAATCGGCCGTAAAAGAGACAGTTATGTTGTGATCACATACCACAAGGCATTCATGCGTCGTTCTTATAATCGACCTGCGGCGATATCAAAAATCAAGGCGATTCCTCGCCCAAACCAAACATTCTGATAGAGTTGTTCCAAGCGCTAGATAGAAGAATGAGTTAGCATGGAGCCGTGCATCAGGGCGAATCAACATCTTACGCTTCGCAAACCTCCTCTACAGTGATACCCTTAACACTGGCAATCACATGAGCAACACGAGCGATGGCAATAGGCTCATTCCGGCCCTTCACCATACACCCCTTCTGCCATTTCTCCTTCTTCACAGCCTTCGGCAGATCCGGTGCACCGTCTAGATGCTTTGCAGATGCATGAGATGGACGGATTTCGCACTATGAGACAGTTAGTCACGTCTGATCTAGCTAAAGCGCGTAGCAAGGTACATACCCATGGCCCATCAGTCTCGATTTGGAGCCTGTCGAGTGGAATAGCTTTGACAACCTCCAGGTTCTCCTCGGTCTTCATACTGCACCCGTTAACACCGACGTCAAGACCCAGCGCAATCATCCGGTTCATTTCATCCATTGTCCCCGTGAAGCTGTGCACAAGTCCCCGCTTGGGAAGCTTGGCAAGCCTTGGGCCAAGGAGTCTCTCAAAGTCCTCGCTTGCAGCTCTGGAGTGGAGGAATAGAGGCAGCTGAATCTCAACAGCGAGGTTTAGTTGGGCTTCAAAATATTTGAGCTGTGGTTCCTTGGGGCTCAGGAAGAGTCGGTCATAGTCAAGGCCGATTTCGCCGAATGCGACAGCGTGGCCGGATTGTGTGGCTTCGATTGCTAGAGTGCGGAGCTCGTCTAGCATTTTTGACGGACCGCCTGGGTATTCGTCGAAGAGCTTTGCTTGGCATGGATGCACACCAACGGTTGCATAACAGAAGCCCGCTGCAGAATTGGATTGTTAATAATAAACAGGGGAGTGCAGGCAAGCCCGAAACTTACGGTATTTGGCAGCGATATGGATAGCGTGCTTCGATTCTACAAGATCCGAGCCGGTTACCATAAACTTGAAGCAGCCTACGTCGCGAGCACGCTGGATAACGTCCTCGAGATCGTCGTCATGGGCCTGCTTTCCGTGATATTCACCGCGGAATACGGGATCACTCAAGTTGATACCAATCTAGTACTTCGCAGTTAGCTATGAGTTGCATAGTTCATTTCAAAACAAGGCTGTTTTAAAAGACGACCCACATCAACATATCGGAGAGGTTTAGATTCAGCCATATTTAATGTCGTCTGTTGTTTTCCAACTGTGGAGATTGTTCTGGGATTTCCAGCAGATATGGAATTTACAGAAGACAGACCAGCCAAGCTGGGACTCATATAAGAACCTACAAACAAGTCAGCTTAAGCCTTTTCAAGATTGTCTAGCCTTGGCATGACTGGACTAGTCAATAGGTTTCTATTTGGACACGAAACAGACCTAAAGAGACGGGTCTATCTATCCCTGTCGGCCTCACACTCGAGGTGATATTGCGGCTGAAAAGATTCAAAGCACGTTTGCCAACAGACTTTATTGGCATCAGATAAATAAAGTTAAGATCCTCGTTATTGCGTTGATGAAATGCTTCCTCTATCTAGCACAAATGTGTGTTGACTCACGGTCGGGAAATGTCCAGCCACACTAGGGCTGAGGATTATTGTGGCTGGTGACATATATGCCTTGGGATTCAGGCAGCTATAGTCTGTCGGCGCAGATACACCAGGATACCGGAGGATTTATTAATCCTAAGTATACAGTAATATTTCTTATGTAATCAGGACAGTATAAATTGCCAGGAAGTCAATACAGCAATAGGGAGAGTTGAATACCATTGATTGGACCCATACATTTCCACCATACGGAGTAGTTGACAGTTATGAGCCCGGTTCGCACTGAATAAGACTACTATATCGGCATATAGTACCTAGCAACTTGCTAGAAACTGTCTTATAAACCTCCACGAAGCCACTCCGCAGAAAGTCATCCCTTGTTTCACATCAAAACAACACAGCATCCAGCAATGGAAACAGCATCGATTCTCTCCGCCATAAAGGGCGATAAACTGAAGGATACACCGCAATGGCTCACCTGGTTTGCGAAGGTGCAGCTATACGCAATGCAAAAAAATGTCTGGGATCACTGCAACCCGGATACCCCGTTAACTGAACGACCTGATACTCTAAAGGAACCGGTACAACCAGAATATCCTGAAGAGGGCACCGAAACAGATCGAAGGAAATAGAGAGACTAAGCAGACGTGTATAAAATGAGCTATACTCGATAGGAGAAGCAAGCAAAGGGACTGAGTGATGTAAATAAATATATCCTCACCTATCTTGACCCAGTACACCACCTCGCACTGATTATATATCGTACACCGTATGATAGACTTGTGTATCTGAAGTCTCGGTTCGCTCGATCGACCGCGTATAAGGAGGAAATCCGAATGAGTTGGAAAGTGTTTGCAATACAGAAGCCGACTGGAGACATCGACAAGTAGCTCTAAAAGTGGAACTCGCTAAGGGAGCAAGCGGTTAGTCTTGGTATCAAGGACGGAGATACCAATAGGGACTTCCTGCACGCCGTAAAAGAAGTTCTACCTATATAGTGGTAAGGTAAATACCAGGAAATAGTGATAGAAAAGAAGGTGTACGATACCCGAGATCTCCTTGAATTATTCCGCGCGATGAATCGCGAGATAGGAGCACAGGTGGTATTATCAACCACTCCTCCAAAAGGCGCTTTCTCGACCTAGTAAGGTCACTAAGAGGCGAAACCGGAAACAAAGTAAGAGAAACTTCCGTTTAAGAAGAGACACTGCCCTTGTGGTAGCTCACACCCGAAGCATAAAGTTGCTACTTACTGGCTCCTAAACGAAGCGATTCGGCCAGAAGGGTATACCCTAAACGAAGGGAAACTAGAGAAAGCAAAGAAGAAGTTAGGAAAGGACTACGCTTGGAAGCAATAGGTGGATAAAGTGATAGCTGAAGCTCAGCAAGCTCAGCAAGCACAGGAAAAACCAGCCGAATCCGCCAACCAGGTCAGCTTTGCAACCACTTTTCGAAGTAAGCCAAGTAAAGCTATACAGATTAGCAAGTATATACTCTCTGTGGCAAAGGCAGGCGAGCCCTCCCTCTGTGACCGGTGGATTCTTAATACCGGATCAAGTGCGTATATCTGCAATAACCGAGCCCTATTCGTCGACTTCACACCTGATATAATTGACCTAACAACCGGAGATAGTACTACGTAGGTGCTAGGGAGAGGCAAAGTTAGACTTTTAGGGAGACACCCGGTAAAGGGAAGGATAGAGATCACCTTAAGCGACGCTCTATACTCACTAAGTTTCTATACGAGTCTCGTGTCGTACGCGATACTAAAGAAGAAAGGCGGCCTCTGGTGCCAACGTACAAACTGTATACGGGACCCAAATGATAGACCTATCGTCTGTGTGAACCTATAGGATCAATTCAATCTCTAGATCTTTAACAAGCTAGGCGAGGCTCCGCCACAACAAGCATATACTGTGCAGCAAGTATAACGGAAATCAGTGAAGCCACAGGAATCAAGGGCTTCCTCTGAAATTTAGCACCGACGCCTAGTATATATTCAACCGCGGACCGTAGCAAAGCTTGCTACTATGGTAGACGGCGTTATTCTTGACGATAAAGGAGGAGTAAGCACAGAGCAAGAATCTCTATATCAGACCTATAAGACAGGAAGTGCTCCGAGGTAGATTTCAAGACGATAAGTTAGACGTACCTTTGGACGTTTTGGAAGGGTGTATTTCGACCTAATTTAGCTGCAGCCAGCCTACAATAAGCACCGCTGGATATCCCACTTCTACCTAGAAGGACCGAGATTCCACTGGATCATGACTCACGAAGTGAAACCTGAATGTCAATTGGCTATCAACCAGTTTATACAACTTGCAAGAAATCAGTAGAAGCTACCAATTAAGGCCTTCCACTATAACAATAAAGCAGTAGCTGGCAGAGCAGCGGAGTATAGTCTTATAAGCGATGGTATCCTGATATATCACTCCCCCCCAGGGCACTCAGAGATGAATAGGTATACTGAGAGATTAGGTGGAATGATTATCACCCGGATACGTATACTCGCCCTCGAAGGGAACCTCCTAAAGGAGCTATAGCCGGAGTTCGCAAGCGCCGCCGTATGGTTATTAAATCGTACACCAATGTATATCGCCGCCGAGAATCGGTGGGTGGTACTATAGGAGGAAGTAAGGAAGGAAGTCGCACCACAGGCGCCGAGGATAAACCTATCAAATATTAGGTTATATAGAAGCTTGGTGTACTGCAGGATTGAGAAGTAAGTACAGTCCGATAAGATAAACCTACGTGCAGAGATTGGCTTCGTGGTGGGATACCTTACCTCGAATATCTGGAAGATCTGGTTCCTATATAGTGGGAAAGTGAGGTATATCAGGGATATAGTCATTGACGAGACACGAAAATATACCCCTGATTATAAGAAATATCAGCCTATCCCACTACCAGCTATAACGGGACCACAGGAACTCACCGTTAAGGAGGTCGTATAGGTGATAAACCACCAAATTACTAGTTAAGAGGAGACTAGTACGATAGAAGAGAGGACTCAGGATCTACAGGAAGAATAGGAGCCTCAGCAAGTACAGCAGCAAGAGGAGGTTCCGCAGTAAGCAGAGGTCCAAAAGATAACAGTCAACCAACGAGGGACTACCCCAGTCCAGGGGGTGGGTGATAGGTTATATTGGCCGACCCTAGACCCTCCACTATAAGCACTACTAGGTTCCTTTCCGATTGAACAGCCCCTACTACCACTACCAATCACCCCACCGCAGGAGCAAGAGAGGTATACTGGCTCTGGTCAGGGGGTAGATACCGAGGGAGATTAAAGGGACCAGATCCAGTAAGAAGAAGCGGATCTTAAAACCACTGAAGACGAACTAGAGAAGCAACTTTAGGTAGAGCTACTGGCTCCGAGAAGAGAGATAATCGGAGATATAGATACCAGCAATATACTCAGTGGTAGGCGTAGACGCCAAGTAAGGTAGGAAAAAGACTTCGCCTACGCGATAAGCACTACCTAAGAAGTGGAACCGCCGGCGCTACTCTATACTTTTGCCGCTGGCTTATACGCTGAGAAACTAGACACTCGCCGCCACCGAGACGACCTCCTACCACCGCCAAAATACTGGAAGGATATAATAAACTACCTATTTCAGGAAGGTTTTCTCGCAGCGATAAGGAAGGAGATCAACTCCCTCTCTGAAAAGGGGACTTTTGAGGTTATTAAGAAACTAAGAGACCGAGGGAAGCAGATTCTCCCTCTTTTATAGGTGTTCTTATACAAATTTGACCAGGACGGGTACCTTTTGAAGCTTAAGGCCCGTATCTGTGTGCGCGGAGACCTTGAAACCATCTCTCACGAGGAAAAGAGAGCTGCTACGCTAGCAGTAAGGACAGCGAGGATGATTTTTGCCTTGGTTGCTGCCTTTAATCTTGACCTAAGACAGAGAGATACTGTCACCGCGTTCCTAAACAGCAAGTTAGACCAAGAGACGTATACGTATATACCTGAGGGATTTCAAAACCTAGGTAAATGCTGGAAGTTACGTCGCGCGCTATACGGTCTACGGATTTCACCACGACTTTGGCAGCAAGAAGCAGCAAGCGTGCTCCGCAAGCTAGGTCTACAGTAAGTGCCAGAAGACCTATGCGTTTTTATAGGAAAAGGACTACTGGTTTTCTTCTATGTAGATAATATCCTAATCGCCAGTTATACTAATACAAAGGCGTAGGCACAGCAATTAGAGCGAGATCTCGAAGTACACTGGGAACTAACCGATTATAGAGAAGCAGTATAGTTCCTAAATATACGAATCATTCGAGACCGGTAACAAAAGAAGCTCTGGTTATATCAAGATAGCTATATAACAAGTATTGCTACCCGATATCACTTAACAGAAAGGGTACCAGTCTATACTCCACTGCCGGTTGAGGAATTAACCCCTTTTCAGGGGGTGGCAACGCCAAAGGAAATCCTGCTATACCAGCAAAAGGTGGGCTCAGCAGGGTATACCACCATTATCACTAGGCCCGACGCTGCAAAGGCGACCGCGAAGCTCGCGCAATTTCTTACGAACCCCGGTCCACAGCACCAGTAAGCAGCTGATCGAGTTATCACCTACCTCTACTCCACCCGGAACCTAGCGATTGAGTACGGAACAGCCAATACTGGGACCGACTCGGTGCAGTTTGCAAGTGACGCTTCGTATAGAGACCACCCGGATAGAAAAAGCTCAGCTGGGTATATCTGTCAAGTATACGGCGGTCTAATTGACTGGAAAGCAAGCAAGTAACCCACAGTGACAACGTCAACCACAGAAGCAGAGCTACTCGGCCTATCGGAGGCAGGAAAGCAGCTCCAATAGTGGCGCCGATTGCTTCAAAACCTCGCCTTTACTCCGTTACACCACCTAACAATCGACTGTGATAACGAGAGGACTATCAGCTTATTGATAAGCGAGGACACAGCTTTTGAAACGAAGCTTCGATATATCGATATTCACCACTATTGGCTCCGCCAGGAAGTCCAACAGGGTCGAATACGGGTGCGCTGGGTGCCTACAGCAAGCATGGTTGCTGATGGCCTCACCAAATTGCTCACTCGGCAAAAGCATAAGAGCTTCGTGCGACTGCTCAACATGGTTGATATAGGCTATCTTATAGACTAGGAATTACAAGATGATACAGCGATCTCAGCAAGTATACTGGGACCGCTGAGGGGGTGTGTCGGCGCAGATACACCAGGATACCGGAGGATTTATTAATCCTAAGTATGCAGTAATATTTCTTATGTAATCAGGACAGTATAAATTGCCAGGAAGTCAATACAGCAATAGGGAGAGTTGAATACCATTGATTGGACCCATACATTTCCACCATACGGAGTAGTTGACATAGTCCAGGGACCCGCTCGGAGACAAATCCGTAGTCCAGTCGGTGGTTTGCCGGTTTAGGCCACTTCATCGTTTAGATGTCTTCAGACACGAGTAATTCTATACAAGTTCAGATTGAAAGCTAACTTATTGTGGTGTTCTTGGAAAATTATTGGTCGTTTGACCTTTTTGTACGACACACGCGTATGCAGCTGATCGCATGGCACTACATGGTAAACAGTGTGAAGTGGCAATCTACAATGAAAGGTGATGCTGAAGAACCAGGAATTCGAGGGCAGATATGTTGTACATCAGTACATCACACAGCACTCAACATAGGAGTCTGCATGCTCGAATAGGAAGCTCGGGGGGCTTTGGCCCGTAGAGTCCGGGGTAAGTCCGGGGACATTGCCGAAAACATCCCCGCCTGGACCCTTGCTGAGTATTTAGCCCATTGTGGATGGCTACTTCGATTTTGTCTCCATCTCATTAATTCTGCTTTACAATTTCACGCACGAAATCGGCGTCATTTAATATCCGCTTCGACTTTCTTTCTTGCTAATCCAAGCACCCACAAGTTCGCACTGTCTGACAGCAATGGCAGACCAAAAACTTGTGTCTGCTCAACAGATCTCAGAGCATAAAACGCCTGAAGACTGCTGGGTTGTGGTCGACAAGCAGGTGTGGGATGTGACCGACTTTTTGGAGGGGCATCCTGGAGGGTCTGCAAGTACGTACACCGACAAATCCACCCGAGGACGATCTTTAATCCCCCGCAAATAGTTATCCTGAAGCATGCAGGCGGAGATGCAACGAAAGCATATTCAGAAGTCCATGCACCCGGTGTAATGAAGGACAATCTCCACCCAGAGAAGTTCAAGGGTGTCCTCGACGAGTCGACAATTGACGCAGAGTGGGGCAAAACACCGGAGGAGAGTCCCAAGGTGATACTGGAAAATGGAAAAGACCCCTTGCACACCCTGATCAACTCGCACGACTTCGAGGTTGTGGCTTCGAAAACTGCCAGCAAGAAGACTTGGGCCTTCTACTCCAGCGCAGCTACGGATTTGATCACGCGGGACGCGAATAAGTCATGCTTTGACCGCATATGGTTCCGCCCTCGAGTCTTAAGAAATGTCCGCTCGGTAGATACCCGGACAAATATCCTCGGCGGGAGCTACAAGCTCCCGCTGTTCGTGAGCCCGGCAGCAATGGCAAAGCTCATCCACCCGGATGGAGAGCTTGCCATTGCCAGAGCCTGCGCAAATAAAGGCATCATGCAAGGAGTGAGTACATATGGTCTGTTGCCATGTTAGTCATTATGCTTACGATCTGGGGAGGTTTCAAACAACTCATCCTACACGATGGAGGAACTGCGCACGGCAGCGCCCGCAGCCGACTTCTTCTTCCAATTATATGTCAACAGGGATCGAGAAAAGTCTGCCGCTCTACTGCGCCAGTGTTCAGCGAATCCAAACATCAAAGCTATTTTTGTCACTGTGGACGCTGCGTGGCCCGGTAAGCGCGAAGCCGACGAGCGCGTCAAGGCAGACGAGAGCTTATCAGTTCCCATGGCGCCGGCGAAGGCGCAGAACGACAAGAAAGGCGGTGGACTTGGCCGCGTCATGGCTGGGTTCATTGATCCCGGGCTGACATGGGAGGATTTGAAATGGGTGAAACAACACACGCACAAGCCGGTGTGTTTGAAAGGCGTGATGTCAGCGGACGATGCGCTGTTGGCCATGAAAGCGGGTCTTGATGGTATCTTGCTCAGCAACCACGGCGGTCGCAACCTGGATACCAGTCCGCCGTCGATCATCACGCTCCTAGAGCTCCACAGGCGCTGTCCGGAGGTCTTTGACCATATGGAGGTCTATGTGGACAGCGGTATTCGGCGTGGAACCGACATCCTCAAGGCTGTTTGTCTGGGCGCGACGGCTGTGGGAATGGGTCGCAGCATGCTTTTCGCTACTAATTATGGCCAGGAGGGTGTAGAGCATCTGATTGACAGTAAGTGATGGCCTGATACCCTGCTTTTATAGTTTGCTGATTCAAGCCTCTCGCAGTCATGCAAGATGAGTTGGAAACATCCATGCGGAACACTGGCATCACATCCCTGGCGGAGGCGTCCCCTGATCTCGTGCACACTGGTGATGTCGACCACCTGGTTCCAGTGTCCCGCTCACACCCGTACGCTCGGGCCATAGCTAAAGGACGGCGTCTGGGGTCGAAACTTTGAATAGTTATACAATTGTCAAATGTATGAGGTACATGTTGGTTGACCAATCGCATCGCGTGGGGATAGGAGCCATCTATTAACTTTGAGGGTATATACTCCGTACTCCGTGCCATACATACATATACATATGTAGTCCAAATAGTAATTAGCGACCAATATACTTACCCTACCAAATATCGATATAAAACTCAACGAAAAAAACCCCAAATTCCGGACCCTCTCTAGGGATGAAAGGGGAAGAAAGGGATTCCTGCCAAGATTTATTGACACTTGCCCAGGCCGGGTCCTTACAGCTATCGAATACCCCCGAGCCCCTGGCCACAAAACCAATAGAATCAGCACAGCCACCTATAAGGTCTGCTGATCTCTCGACACGATTCGACCCGGACTTTCCGGGTATAATAAGCGATTGCGGGGTGAGAAAAACATGATTCTGATTCAGAACGACACGTTGCACCATAGATTATTAGAGATTATTAGAGATATCTGTAATGATCTACTATACCGTGTAGCAGAGAGAATAGCTAAAAAAAATAGTACTCCGTAGATCATTCGGAAAGAAGGACCCAACTCCGAATCTCACTCCACTTATTTTTCTAGTATAACGCTAATTTATCTGAGGTCTTGGGAGTATATTCTTAGTATTCAGGTCCACAACAGGTCATGGGATTCCTCAACCTCAACAGTTGAGAATCGGCGATTTAACCCCGACATTCTCAAAATTGAAATTCCAGTTCTTTTTTATGGCTTACGCGCCAGGGTTCCCTCTGCAGACCGACTGATGGGGGAACCACTCATGATCAAGGGATTAGATGTAGATATGCATAACGGAACCGTTGTGCAGGTATCTCCGACCAGATACATCTCCCCCGTTTTTCACTTTCCCCTAGGAGAATCCAATGGTTACGTAGGGCAGAGTATGGGCAGGTTATGATTATTCAATTACCCCATTCTGTAGCCAATAATGACCGATATTCATGTCGGGGATTATTTCATTGGATGATCGCCCAACGAAGAGGTAATGATCACCAGTTTCAGGAGACTTAGAGAGGGGGAAAGATGTGAGATTCAGAAATATTTTGTAAAGTAGAATACATCATTTTGGGGGGGTTAGGTGATGTACCGGGTACATCTTGTCACTCCGTGTTCTGGTGGGTACGGGGTAGCCTACAGTCCCGGTGAATGTACCTGTGACTTGCTTATGACTTACGCCGTAGATCTCTGTCTGAGTGAATTGTTGAACTCACCAGTCATCAGTAATATAAGGGAAAAAAAAGGGTATATATAGGGGGGTTTACTTATTTCCCCTCTCTTAAGAGATTTCTTTTTCAACTTCAACAAATCCACTACATTTTCAGTGTTGACGTACTCTACTTTTGGCTCGACACTATCGATAACGGTCCAGACCGCCAAGAAGTGCCCTCATAGCTCTCCCCAACCATTCCCAGATCTATAAAGCTCTCTGCCCTGTTCCCATACTCCTATACTTCCTCGCTTCTCATTTTACCCTTCCCCCTTATACTTGGAGACCTCTACCTCTGCCAAGCTTCCCAACATAGCTCTACTTGAAAGCTATAGTTCTCTACACTTCACACTATCACAATGACTGCTCCTCGTTCATCATCTATCCGCGCTCTTCGCGCTCTGTCTCAACAGCCCGTGGCACCCGCTGCTCGCCGCAGTCTTCACATCACCGGAGTTCAGTCCGCTCAACCCGCCAACGGCGAGAAGTCCCTCACCAACCACGATGTCCTCCAATCTCGTGCCCTCAGCATCGCTATGCGCAGAATCAACGGCAGTGCATTCTCAGAGTATGTCCCCATCACCCATTCCATTCCACACATCCACCCATATCCTCATTCCAAACCAAAAAAAAAAGAACCCGAATCTAACATACCCCAGCTCCTCTTCCGCCCGCCAATTCAATACTTCTCGCGCCACAAAAGCCCTGAACGACACCTCAACCGTCGACTTCGTCTACATGCCCAGCATGGCAGACCTCGAGGCCTCCCCTCTGCAACGCAGCATCCAAGTCCCGGTCCTTCCCGAGCTGCCCTCCATCCCATGGCGCCAAACACCCACCGCCCCACCCATGAAGCCCCAGATCTACACCGTCTCCGGCACCGGGGCTGACGTCCCTGCCAGCGCGATGAGCGAGGTCGTCGATAATCACGCCATGGATCTGGACCCATTCTCACTTACCGAGACTGTTGGCCGCGCGCGTGTTGGCGAGGAGATCCAGCGCAGGTCAAACGGTACTACCGAGCCCGGTGTCATACGTGAGCTTTGGACCAGCTTCCTTGATGATGTTAAGGGTCAGGATAATTTCCAGAGGAAGTAGAATCTTTTGATTCCTGTGTCTGGTCTATTCTTACTTCCAGTCCTGTTGACGGGTCTGTGATGAAACGAATTCTTTTGTAGCTTGATACATTGTTCAGGCTTTATGTTGTCTTTTTTTTTTGTTCGAGTCGTCGAACTGTTTGAGATACTAGCGTTTTGATGTAATATCTTTCCCATGGAGTGGATGTGTTCCTCCTTGGTGTCAGCCAGCCGATCTTTGGCTTTGTTTTCTATCTTATTCCACTACATCTCTATCGAGTTGTTCCAATCCAATTGAACATTACTATCCATACTTCAAAAAGTCATTCTATTAACGTCTTTTAGAAAAATCGTTATATCAGATTCAATTTCTGTACACTTTTCCGATATACTAAATTACCACTAATCGATCGCCACAGGTGACTCAATACCATCACTCATGGGACCAACACAAAACAGCGCGATTTTCGTTGTGCCGAGGCACTCAATCCGATACCCACCATGATCTACGAGAAAAGCAGATCCAGAGTCCCGGAATTCCTCCGCTGTGAATCAACCTGCACCATTGATCCGAGGTCACCAGGCCAGCTCCAGAGTGTGGGTCATCATGTCATTCCAAGACCATCGCCGACAATTGCACCATGATCCAATCACACGCATGTGCTATGCCGAGATAAAGTATCTGAATAACACTAAAGAGGTCCTCACTGCATATGCTCCGATGCCGACAGCGCTGGTCCTGTCATCTCGGCAGCAGTGACGTCGGCACGTTCCGTTGAGAAAAGTCGGTACTAGTATACCGACATCGAGAATCGAATCAGCCCACTTCTTTTTCCCTTCCGCATTTCTAGCGCCGGGGTAATATCTTTGCAGTCCCGAGGTTTCGTTTTTGCAATTTCTAATGCCGGGGTATTATCTTTGCAGTTCCGAGGTTTCTTTTCTCCATTGTAATTTCTAGTTGCAGGTGGAATCGTGGGGAAGGTCGGAGGCCCGCTCGGGGGAGTTCGGGGAGAACTGGGGTCATTATCTGATTGATTTATCAATCGCTTTTCGGGGACTTTAAGGGTCTGCTGGATATGTGAGTCATTGAATGTTTCTTTTTTTTTTTTTGACAATAGCTATTAGGTATTTAAAGCTTTTAGCGTTAGGGCTATGTGTGGCTGGTGCTTGGTTATTTGGGCTATAAGGGGTTTGTGGCTTTGTGCTGCGATCTACTAATTTTGTGCAATTTTGGCATAACTGTGACTACATAAATGTACTAGCCCTACACATACTCCGTAATTTGGAGGTGCTTCCTTGGGTCATCAGCTCTTAGGGCCTTGGGGTTCCTCAGGCTTATTTGTTATTAATATTCATTATATGGCCTGTCGTGGGTAGGCCCCCTTTTCTTTAGGCCAATTTAGCCGACCTAACGGTCAGCATTTAATTGTGGCTGAAGTTAATTGATTAAGGCTGCTGAGAGCTATCATGATTTGGGGACAGTCAGGCCATAATATGTACGGGGTACTGCACGTAATTCTGCACTCATTCCAACAATGAACTGCGGCAGAGGAATAAGAAAAAATTACGACTATCGCATCAAATTGAGATATGGTCATCGATGTCAAAAATTTGATATACACCGAGGTACTCATACCTGTCGCACGCTGTGTAGTGGGCTTTTGTTTTGAATATTGTGAGCAATCCGCACAGTGCGTTGTGATACAAGTGCGAGACATTGTTACATTTATTCAGTGATATACGAAGCATTATTGGCTTTAATTCATAGTATAAAGTAGTATAGGGACTGCTTAATTTGGAAATGGTAGAGCCAATATTCGCCTCAATATCCACACAGCTTACGAGGCAACTATGCAAACTCTTTGATGCGTTCGATATTTTATTATCAGTCTCCACAGTTACTTCATGATCTACACGATAGATCTATTTCAGGTTTCGGTATGCACTACTCCGTACACCCCGTACTCTGTACGGAGTGCAGAGTACATAATACTCTTCGATCAATTAGATCGGGTTGAGATGCATCAAATCAAACTAGTTATTCAAGTGAATTGAAATAGTCTAGCGGACGGTGGATTGCAGTATGTAGGTACAAATATCCAGCTGCAAAAGGGAAGTGGTCCCTGTCAGACCTGTCAGGGTTAGACGTTCTCGACCCAAGTGGATGCTTAAATCAAGTCTAGACTTTATGTATGTCCTCCGTACTCCGTATATTGTGCTTAATGGAATTTGTACGGTCGCATTGTGTGAATTTGGGGATTTTACTGATCTCTCTTTCGTATTTTGCTTTCACATTTGGGTGGTTCCATGTAACTAGTGTTAAGCTGGTTGTTTAGTTGCTCGGCTACTTTAGCTCCATAGTTCTTGGACCATTAACATGTCCGTATCCTCTTTTGGAAGCAACCTTCAATAGTATGTAGATATAAAAATAGTCAAGATTAAAGATCAATATTGAAGACCAATATTCAACATACTCATAATATTCCACATAGATGGGCATTGAGCTCGGGCTAGCGCCTTAGCTTTACGAGCCGATCAGGACTAGAACGAGCATTAGAACAAGTGGAGGAAAGTGGATAGTGGAAGCTAATCCTCTTATAGCTTAGAACCAACTGAAGTTCTTGTGAGTTCCTGTCCAGGGGTTTTTCACAGTGGGGACTGTCCGCCACCCCCCTCCTATCTTCCATTTCAAGTCTCTCCAACCTGGTCTTTTTTTCAATTTTATCTTTCCTATATCTATTTTTATTTCTCTTTCATTTCAGTCTTCATATCGCTTAATCCACTCCTTCAATCTTTCAAGCCGATTCAACCTTCGTGCAACAGCGGTTATATTGAACATCCAATTGAATCCGGCTTCGGTTCATCAAATGCAGACTTCTACAGTTTCTCGTTCTTAAACTCCCCCAGGGATCATGCGTCTCTCATCATGTCTAGTCTTCATTGCCGGCATCTCCGGCGTGCACGCCTTCTATCCATGGGAATTGCGAATGAAACTCTCTGAAGATACTACAGTCGAACGTCGCTTTGTCCCATGGACCTTGGTTGAAGCGAAAATTGACAATGAGAGCACCGACACACCCAACATACCCGACACGAAACCTTTGACACTTGACCTGAAGAAAATGCCCGTTCGCCGCGACGATGGCTATAAGATCGTCGAGTCCCATAAGCCATCATTGTCAGACAGCGCACCGTTACACCAGGATGGAACGGATTATTCATACTTCTCTCCAGTCTACGTAGGTTCTGAAAAGAAAGAAATGTGGATGGCAATTGATACTGGAGCACCCAATACCTGGGTCTTTCACTTAAAATGCCATGAGCCTGTCTGCGAACGCCATCACAAGTTCGACCCGTCAACATCATCCAGCTACACCACCGACGATTCAACTTTCACCCTCTATTACGGCAGCGGCAAGGTCAATGGAAAGATGGGAAAAGACACCTTATCAATTGCAGGGCTCGAAGTCTTGCAAACTTTCGGCCAAGCCACCAATGCTTCGGAGGCTTTCCAGAGCTACCCATTCGACGGAATCCTTGGTCTAGGTCGGTCGCATACAGAAGGATGGAACTTGCCATCTTTCATGGACCTTATTGCCGACAAAAAGCTCATCAAGTCAAACTTGGTTGGATTCAGTCTCTCTCGCTCAGCAGACGGTGACAAGGATGGTGAAATCAACTTCGGTGGTGTCGACACAACCAAATTCGATGGTACCATCTCCTACACTCCTACCAACAGCAAGATCTGGAGCATTGCCGTAGATGATGCTTATGTGAATGGAAAAAGTTGCAATTTTTCCGGCAAATCCGCTACCATCGACACCGGAACCACCTATCTCCTGATCCCTCCTGCAGATGCCAAAACCCTGTTTTCTCTCGTCCCTCATGCGTCTCAACAGCCTGACAACCCAAACAACTATTTGATCCCATGTAACTCGACTGCTACCATAGAGTTCGAGTTCTCTGGTATCAAGTACAACGTCTCGCCTAAGGATTATGTCGGGAACACCGTGTCGGACGGTTCAGACTACTGCATTTCGACCATTGTCGGTTATGCATCCAACGGTGCAAACTGGCTCGTCGGCGATGTCTTTTTGAAAAACGTCTACACCGTCTTCGATTTCGACAACGCACAAATCGGCTTCGGCGCGCTTGCCTCAGCCTCAGCCTCGAAGTCGAACTCCCACTCAGGCTCGCACTCAAACTCATCTTCAACATCATCGTCATCCTCATCCCCGTCCCAGGGTAATGGGACATTCACCGCGCCGCCAGTCAATGGCACCACTGCGTCTACTGCTGACGCCGCATCATCCCCATCATCATCAGCCTCTGCAATGGCCACAATTTCTCAAAGTTCCGCATCCCACCTAATCCGCGGCATTAGCTGGTCTATGCTCACGGTCATGATTGGCGCATTTGCTATTTGAACTGCATTTTAGCCCATCTTTCTCTTCTTGGCAATTTTTTTTTATTTGGCGACAATCATATTTCTGCTCTTTGTATTATTGTACACTCATTTGTTGCCCATTTCCCGTGCATATCGTTATTATACATGCACATTTTTTTCACTTCTGCTAATACACCCGGGTCCATACACGCTCACCCACTCATGCTAGCATACGTTGGCGGCACATTGTCTATTCGGCTTTTTCAAAGCTGCATATATCACTCGTTTTGTGTTGAACATCCAACATCTGTCCTTCATTTGGACTGGATATGACTTGCTATTATTTTCTACATAGACAAAAGTCTACAATATCGTTGGCAAGATGCCACAATCACATAATAAATGTTTGCAATTGTAATATCTAACCTTGGAATCAATGCACAATGCACACCTAAGCTTTCCCACTGTATGAATGGGGCAGGTGACATGTTGACATGTGACATTGACAACCAGGGAAGGTACAAGGGAACTGTCCACTTTGGGAAGGTACGTGGGTTAAGGGTATAAAAGGACCTCTCCTGTCTTCTTCCTCTTCTCTTCTTCCTCCCCCCAACTCTCTCAGCTACCATCTCACCCTCTCGCCATCTCTTGTCGTTCTCCTGCCTCTCTCCCCCCTCGCCATAACCCCAACTACTATCTCGCCGTCCACTTGAGACAGCGTAGCAGAGGGACACCGGTCACCTACATGGATATCAACATCATTGTTTTGGTCCATGTAGGTCCGCGTCCAGATCAAACCCCCAGTTCACGTGGATGTTCTTGACAAAGTCATGGCTGGGGCTTGGGGCCCCGTAGCCTTGACGAGTCCCACGGAATACACGACGCCGCCTACATGGATGTCAACATAACCCAGCTGTTGAGCTCTATCGGGTGCGCATGCAGATCAACTTCTTAGTTCTCGTGGATACTCTTTGACAATGTCGTGACTGGGGCTTGGGGTCCCGTAGCCATTTGGCAGGTCCCACATAATACAATTCTCTTATTTGTTCGTTCCAACTATGTACATAGAGAGTTATCCAATACATTTAGGGTTGAAGACATGTGCATTTAAGTTATTGTCTAGAGTAATAAGCTTCCCTGTATACGAGCCAGATGATACGTACATCTCTTCCATTCACAGAGTCTTCTGAGGTGTGAGCGTATAGTTCTTCGGATCCGACTCTGCATCTCAAAATCAGCATCCATCCTCACAGCACAGCAGGGACAAGATGAACCAAGAATGTCGCGATTGAAATCCTCAACCCCATTGAACCCAGCAACACCCATCAAAATATCCAAATCTGACAGCAACGACTTCATAACATGTCGAACCCCATCCTCACCCTGAATACTCAACCCCCAAACCCAAAGCCGACCAATAAATACAAACCGCGCCCCCAACGCCAAAGCCTTAACAACATCACTAGCGCCCCTCACCCCAGAATCAAACATAACATAAATTCTCTCCCCGACAGCCTCCGCAATCCTCTCAAGCGCATCAAGACTAGCAACAGCGCCATCAACCTGCCTCCCAGCATGATTACTCACAACAATCCCCTCAACCCCAAGCTCAACACATCTCCTCGCATCAGCAACCGACTGTATCCCCTTGATCACAAACGGCCGCCCCCCACTAATTCCCCTCCAAGTCTCCATCAACCAAGGGATCTTCTCCCACGACCAAGCCCGCCCATGCCAGACGGAATCAATCCACTTCGTCGATGCAGCAACAACATCAACATCGGGATCAATCCCGTCCTCAACACACCTCTTCCGAAAAACAGGATCCGAAAGTCCCATGTCCGCCCCGAATCCGCGGTAGAATGCATAATTCGACGTCGCGACGTCGTCGTGTCGCCATCCAAGCTGCCATGTATCCGTCGTGGGAATCAGTGCGTCGAACCCGTTTTCCCACGCCCGTTTTAGAAGTGATAAGGTCAGTTCGTCGTCGTGTGGCATCTACAGTTGGAAAAACCGTGTGCCTGAAGGCCCGTTTGCAGATGCTACTTTTTCGATCGATGTGCTGCCCGCTGTCGAGAGGCAGTAGGGGAGGTTCAGCTCGCTGGCGACTTTGGAGACGGCGGCTTCGCCGTTTGGGTGGTAGATCTTGTTTATTCCGATAGGGGCGAAGCCGATGGGTGCGGAGACGGAGTGGTCGAAAATTGTTGTTCTTGTTGAGCGCGTGTTGGTGTCGATTAGTTGGTTTGGGATTAGTCGGTGTCGGTAGAAGGCTTGTCGGTTTGCCAGGTGTGTGGTTGACATTCCTGCATTTGAGGAGGCGTAGTACCTGTTGTGCTTTAGTCTATGTGTCTTGGGATGTCGCCGGTCTCGTGTCATTGGGGGTATGTACCAGCCGCCCTCGCTCAGCTTCTCTTTCGCTCGTTCTTCCATTTTTCGGGGGTCTGTTGAAGTTAGAATTTCTGTAAGCTTAGAAGGATCATAGTGAAGGCTTGCCAGTATTGAATAGTGGTGTGGTTCCTTCATTCTGTTTCCAGAAGTTTTCTCGCTGGCAAAGACCCCATTGAGGTGTAGTACGCTCTTTGATATGTGGGTTTGTTGGATCACTCATATTACAGATAGATAATGTTTCGATTCCGTTCTTCGAATCAATATATTAATCTGAATGGATACAAAATAAGAGTCAGTTACCTTGAAGTAGTGGTATATATCAGTATCATATCCATGACTTCATTTTGACGCGGTTCTAAGATCGGAGAGCACCACCCGGAGCTTGGTTAAGCTTAAATGAACTCCAAGATATAAATCATGGTTACAATCTTCCCTTCACATATTCAATCTGTAGAACCCTGAAAAGGAAGTTGTTTATAGCTAAGAATGTTCGATTTCAATCTTGAAACCTTGAAACACAGCAGCTTTTGGTATTTTCGCGTTAGGCTCTACTCTTTATGAATTAGTGACTGGTACACCCCCCTAAAGTGAACTCAATCCGGCTAAGTCCAACGACTCTGATGCCATCAAAGCATAAATTCGATGATAACATGCAGTACATAGTTGATCATGTTATTGAGGAGCGGTACAAGGCACATCAATTTCCAGACGTTACTGGTGTTTGGCGTGGGAATATTATATTAGGGTGTTGGAAAGGAGAATTCACCACAGCAAAGGAAATACTTGATGAATTGACCAACTATTAATCACCTTTCCAGGAATGCGCCCCGGTATTGTTTCAACACACATCAGCGGCGGCCAGAGTCGAACCAACGCTGATTAGGCGGTATGTAGCGCTCTTGTCATCAACTTCAACTTTAGTCATGACTCATGAGGCGACCCCTGCCCAGGTGCCCATTCCGAATACGCTAATAGTATGGTGTATATTCTCTCAGTTGTTATTAGGCTTATCCAGACTATCGTCGATTTAAATAGAGTCCTTTCGCCGTGACTCTTTCTTTGTGGGGTTCTGAATTTTCAAATCGAAATAGTATTCGCCGTTCGGTTTTAAAGTGGACCTCCGGTAGATCATACCTATACTATTTTTGGTGTAGTAAATAAACTCGTCATTGTGGTCCCTAGTGGATCTAGAGCCTACATAGTATATATACCGCTACAGTGACAATCGGAGGTCTCGATTGTCCCTATGATCTTTTGGCCTACCTAGGTAGGTAGTTAACTAAGTGCTCTTATGTAATCACACAGGTGCACCTGGGCAGGCAGCTGCCCAGGTGAGTTCCAAGGTTCCAACCTTGGAAGGTTTCCCCGTCTGGATTACATCATTAATGGGTGTACGGAGTAACTAACTAACCTTCTGTGCCCAGATCCATCCCAAGGTTACCTACAAAATAGTTAGTTATCACCTGATCAAATCACCACTTACGTAAGTTGCTTTGTGGACGTCCACGGGTGCACGGGTACTCCTACTCCTTGACAGCAGTCTCTCAGACACTTATTTTCTCTACTAGATCTCATGACCAGTTGCTGGATCTTGTCACACTTTACTTCTCTAACAAGTCATGGATGAAACACTTCCAGATAGCCAAGCTATTACCGTTCCGGTCCCTATTGCTGAAGTGACGACAGAAGACAAATACAGGGCGTGCCCGATAACGGATGCAAGCCATTTTGTTGTTCAGTAAGTCTTCTCATATACTTCCACCCTAGAAGATGAAGGACTAGCCGCGATACTAATCATATACGCAAGGCTTTCTGACAGGAGACTGGACTCAATTATGCTGTCTGTTGCGGGAATTTCGTACGATTCCAACAAGCCTTGGCCGTTCTGGTTCTTCATCGGAAAGATTTTATCAAAGAGCCTCTTTGAAGTCGAAGGGCAACTTGAATGGCTTAACGCTGTTAGAGTTCGGTCACGGGAGTTCATTGCATTCACCAAGGCCCAGTATAAATCGGACCCCGAGAAAGCAAAGCTTCAGATTGTTGAGATTGATTTCCTCAAACCACAGCCAAATGAACCACTGAAATTATTCTGGAAGCCCGCCAGGGGGATCATATGTCAAAAAGTCCAAGATTGTAAGTTAAAAACAGTGTCCTGGATATCACAGCCTCGTCGATTGAGATTCTGAGTATTTGAGCAAACAGGGTTAGATTATTCATCAGCTCAAGCTTCAAAGATTGCCCCAAGTCATTAATTACTTCAACACCAGCCCACTTTATGGGTACGGACGCTTCGCTCTCGAAAGCGACCTTGAGATGTATTCTGATAATGGCCTCGGAGCTAAGTATATCGTTAGTGACATTAATCGTCTCTTCTTGGCGAGGAACCAGCTCAGATAGATGGGATTCTTTCGAGGCGTTTCATTTCACCAAGGTGCTAGGACTCTTTGAGCCCAGCTAATCCTTTGTTTCTTGTTACAGACGCGAGTGCATGTATAGCTAGAATGATTCGTGGATCTAATTTCATCAATCTACCTCTAGACCTGCAGTGAAAGGGAAATGGGAGAAGTGTGTACATTTCTACGCCTATAGCATCTGAGAAATTCAATCTCTCGGAGCCTTAAGCTTATATTGCCCGCGTTGGTGCATACACCGCTGTATTTCCAGCATGATTAGATTAAATGCTGCATAGTCAGACTTTATTGTATCAAATTCTACATTTGTGAGCAATAGGTCGAGAAACCCAGTCCTTGTCGACGTATCGCACAAAAAGCTATCGTCGTCTCACCCGCACTACGGCAGTCTCTAGACGGCAATGCGCCATAACTCGTTCTCCCACAGTAACGTCAGTTCAGTATTATCTGCTCATTACTAAACTGTATACAACACCTTTCAATCAGCTCTCTAAATCTAATTTCCATAGCGCTTTTACTAGGTAATTGCTCTATTTCTAGATATACATAGAGTGTAAACGGATAGATAGTGATATGAATATCGGATAAGGAATTCAATTATTAAGAATTCAAGTAGTAAATGTCCACGGTAAGTATCGAATTTAATCAGCGAATTTAAGAGATTTAAGAAATTCAAGAACTTGGCCAAGTTTAAGTAGTAAATCAATCAGCGAATTCAAGTTTACTAAATCCATTTTAGTTCTATCGCAATTTAAGCATCAATAATTCGATTATCAAGAATTAAACTAAATGTGAGATAACTTGGGGAATCAGAGCGATATTTGTGTATTGCATTGTATAAAATACGTGAATATCAAAAAGAACAGATTACTGCTGGCCAAATCAATTATGGCGCACTGGCGTTGAGCCACTGCGAGAGATAAATTTCCGAACTTCCCCGCATCTATTACTTATAAAGAGAGGGCGATTGCTGCTGGAGAAATAACTGCAGATCAGACACATTTACTGAGTTTTCCTCGATCTTCTCATACTCGTCATCTGAGGTGCTCTACTTGAACACTAAGATCTATTATTTCATTTTCAAATAAGAAAATATTTACCATAGAATACGGTATGTACCAAGTCAAGACTAAGAAATTTCGAATTGTCTAAACGGGAATTGGAAAGGATCGCAATGTGTAATCACATTGTGTACACATATACGGAGTGTGGTCATGTAGGCAGTGACGGTGTTGATCGCTGTGGACCAGCTATTGAAAGGGATACAAATTGCCCTCGTGACAACTGGGGTACCAGCGACGGTGGATCTCAGCCTGGGAAATGCCATGCCTGCCTATTTCCCACCCCTCCAGATTCGGACTAAGTGCTGTACTTAGGGTGTTGTCAGTTCATCAGTTTGATTTCTGATTTACCGATTGAGACTGATATTCTTCCAGCAATGGGATTTAACTTTTAGATCAAGCCACGGAGAACATGGTATCGGGTTTATGCGGCATCCATGGGTGGATATGATAGGCTCGGACAGATTCGATTTATAAGTTATTAGCTCGGCAAGTTTTCGAATGTCTACTGTTCTGATGAAATTAGAAAGAGGGGATACAGGAACGGACGGTACGGGAAGTGAGTATGTCGGAGTGCTCCGTACATATGTAGATATCGAATTAGTCGGTGGATACCAGCGTCTTCGCAGTGATACGAGTAGGGAGCGAAGAGGGCGAAGTACTTACTCCTTGTAGGAACAGTCATTTCCGAAATGTAGGGGGCCGGGGCAGTGGCGTCCACGCTCGCGAGCTAGGTAGAACCTGCGGCTATAGGAAATAAGAGAGAGGTGGTCAAGCGACGCACCGTTTGGACTACAAAGTATATTCTTCTTGGTCCAAAATTGATTAGCCACTATTAGCCGATACTTTCGACGCTCTCGCTCTAGCTCTTAAATTGGTCCCCCGATGTAGATTCGCGGATCTGCTGTATATAGGCGATTATCCACACAGGTCTTAGGCGACTAACACCAAGGGGTATATAGGTTCGTCAGTAGACCGGCCAACTGACATATCCGTAACGCGGGACTATAGGTCGGCGTAGCGAACCAAAGCAAAAGGAAGTTGTTTATAGCTAAGAATGTTCGATTTACCTTAGACCCTTGAAATTTCGAAAGCTCTCATCTAATATCACTCGGGACATTTCAGACTACAAGACCCTGTAGATGTATATATATGTGTATGGCAACCGGGAGTTAGCTTTAGCCTGTTTTAATAATGACTGACACCCGGCTCGAGTCACCGGATTGTGATTGTTTAGTCCCAGGCTTTGTACGCTTACAATTTGCTTTGAAGGTCACCTTCAGCTGTAAAACTGATCTACAGAAGCATATAAAACCGATCGGAAGCGATGACATCGTTTTTCGTCTCCGAGCCGAGAATCCCCGGGAGCTAACCAGATCGGGCAGAGCTTACGGACTTCCTCAGTGGCCATGGTAGAATCAACTTATAGGAGATTTATATGGGTTCTCACTTCAGCACAATGAAATATGTAGCTTTGAAGATTGTTTGCCAGAACACCTAATTCTTTAAAAACAACTATCTAAGTAAATTAATTGCTTATTGGGAAACTCTGGTGACCAGGGCGGCAACGTTCCGCCATGTGACCAATTAAATCCCTCATGGTCACTGGCATCCCCGGTATAGCTCAGACCCTCGGGACATCGTCATTTTGAGTACTCCGTACAATCTACCGAAATAACTACATTTTATCCCAGTTTGTATTTCCTCCAACATTCACAATGTTCGGTCTCAGCAGAAGATCAGCGCTTGCTCGCTCAAAATCTTTGGCTGTGCTGCCCGCGCGAGCCGCAGTCGCAGCTCAGCAATCCTGTATCAACACACAGGACTTTCACTCCACGTCGTCGCAGGCAGCGTCCCGGCCAACATGGATGCCCATGCGTGTCAAGACACCGTGGATCGATGCGTTGACGCAGATGCGCGAGGCTGAGAAGGCTGGGCCGCAGGCGAATGGTGCGCAGAGCGTTAAGCCTGATCTCTCGCCGAAGAAAATGTCGGATAGCTATTACAGTGCGGTATGTATAATCCTTTTTTATTTAGCGTGAAAATGTGTTGGTATTGACTGGTTGGTAGATTTTGCCTTTGGCTCAAGATAAATGGCTTTTGGATTCGTATCTCAACGCCTCTGGACATATTCGGTATGTCTTTGATAGCCTACCTATTAGAATGGAGCATTTGACTGACCATTCTGACTAGTTTGGGCTCACTCCTGATGGACCTCGATGATCTAGCTGGTATCGTGGCCTACCGCCACACAGGTGACGGTGTATCCACTGTCACTGCGGCGTGTGACCGGATCACGATTGAGAACCCGCTGATGGAAATCTGCGACCTTGAGCTCAGCGGCCAATGCACCTATGCGACAGGTCGATCAAGCATGGAGATCTCCCTTCAGGTCACCAAGGCCCGTCCGGAAGGACAGGAGCCGAAGCCTGAAGATGTCTTAATCACCTGTGCTTTCACGATGGTCTCGCTGGATCCGGCTACCAAGACGTATGTTCCTCTTTCTCAAGTGATACACACAAACTAACATCACAACTAGACCTGTCCCCGTGGCTCCTCTCATCGTTGAAACCGAAGAGGAAAAGCGCCTCTTCCAAAAGGGCGAAGCAAATTACCAAGCCAAGAAGGCCCTTCGCACGCGCAGTCTCTTGGAGAAATCACCAGACGACGAAGAGAGCAACCTGATCCACTCAATGTGGACGAAAGAGATGTCCTACCTGAGTACGCACCAAGCACCCTTACCAATTCCATCCCAAATCCAAGAATACTAACCAGCACCCAGAACCCCAAAACGCAGCCACACGCCCAGCAAACCAAGTCTTCATGAGCGACACCGTCCTCAAATCCGCCATGATCATGCAACCGCAATACCGCAACCGACACAACTTCATGATCTTCGGCGGTTTCCTGCTAAAGCAAACCTTCGAGCTAGCCTTCTGTTGCGCCGCCTCCTTCGCACACGCCCGACCAAACTTCGTCGCTCTCGACCCCAGCACCTTCGAGAACCCAGTCCCCGTAGGTAGCGTGCTGTATCTGCGCGCGACGGTTTCCTACACGGAACCCGAGGAGCGCGACGGTGATAGTACCAAGTACACTAAGGTGCAAGTGCGTGTTGACTCCAAGGTGCGGGATGTCGAGCACGGAACGAAGAAGTCCACGGGCATGTTTAACTACACTTTCCTTGTTGAGAAGGATGTGCAGGTTATGCCGAAGGGGTATGGTGAGTTTATGCTTTGGGCGGATGCGCGCAGGAGGGCGCAGAATGCTGCTGCTATTGATCCCGCGCATAAGGTCAGCGCGCTGCGGAGTATTAAGGATAGTGTTACTGAGTAGATGGAAATTGGGTGGTTTCTTTTGCTTTCTGCATTGGGTTGGGCATCTTACTATTAGATTTAGATCGTTTTGGGGGTCTTTTGTTTGGATAGCTTTCTTTTATGTCTTCTAGTGAGAATATTACCTACTCATTAGGGGTGTATGATACCAAAATAGCATCGCTGAAAATCTACCAGAGGTTGGAAATGTATCCAAATGATCAGAAAGAGGCATAAAAGCCACAGATTTTGTGAAGGCTACCATGCAAAGGGAAAAGAAAGAATCTATATACAACGCCCCCTCCATTCGCCTCACGGTTCCATCCAAAAGTATGTATAAAACGGGCAGGGAATATATATAAGAGCATACAAAACCAGAATAGACACAAGCCGAACGCAAAGATTCCATCCAGTATTTCCAGTATTTCAGTCCACCTGAAGAAACCAACCATGAAACCGACTCCATGTAGAAATGAGATGAGAATGATGTGAAGAATCCTCCCAGGCCATTGTGATGCAAGGGTATACACAGAGGCTGATCCAACTGAAAAAGATCCCAGTCCCGACTATAACTCCCTTTGCCCCCTCCCTTCCTTCTTCCGTGGAAAAAGAAAAATTTCAAAAAATGTTCGTTTCAGGTCGTGATTCTAGCCCTTTTTTGGCCTTGGTGGCTTTTGGTGAAGTGTTTTTTTTTGTTTTACTTCGCCTTTTCTAGTGTGAATATGAGAGGTTTTTTTTGTTTTTGGTGTTTTTGTGAGAGATGGAAAATGTCCCGGGGTGTGGCGAGAGTGAGGTTGTTGGTTGAGGGATGGTGAGGCGATGCTGTGTTTTTTATAACAGGTATAAATAGATCCAAGATCATAATTTCAGACTCATAATACGAATGAGTTTAGACTCTCGACCAAAAGAGAAACAGAGAATAACTCTTGCCACAATGAACTATCATCCAACCCCTGGAGTATGAACTAGCGAGGAATGCAATCAACAGCACAGAGCCGCTTGCCGGGACCCGTCTTGTAGCGGTAGGCTACAAGACCGAGCAGATTCCCGGTCAAGGGAGACACGACTTGTTGATTGTCATTGCTCGCTAAGAACTTCCGAGATGGAATTGGACGTCAATGAGCCCGCAGGCTGGGAGCCCGAAGCAGCTCTATCCCTAGGCCCGCGAGGCTCGCGAGGCTCCGGCGGCTGCTCTTCTTTCATGCAAGCATTTTCCAAAATATTAGTCCACTTCCCACTGGTGCCAGCATGGCTATGCTTCAGATGCTGGCGGAAGTGGTCTGCGCGGAAGAATTTCTTGGCGTTGTTGCACTCGCCGAATTTGTGCACCGTGGTCAAGTGCTCGAATCGCTGGTCCCAGTCTGCCTGGGGGAAATTCGGGAATTCTTCCCCGCAGTACCCGCACGTGTCATGGGTAGGTCCAGTGGTTGTCTGGCAGGACGGTGTGCCTGACGCGTGGAATGCTGCTTGGAAACTCATGAGCGCGGCGCAGGACCATGAATGGCGGCGGAGGTGGAGGGAGTTTTGGTGGCGCTCGGCTTCGTTTTTGTTCTTGAAGCGGTGGTTGCAGTAGGCGCATGCGTACTGTTTCTCCATCTCGTGTGCACTATTGTAGATTAGTATGGTGCGTATAATTAAAAAATCTCACCGCCAACTTACCGTAGGCCCTCTCGGTTGTCGAATTTCTTGGGCTTCTTTGGACAACAATCGCAGATGAAAAGCCCGCCGATTTTTGGTGCGGCTGGCTTTGGTACATTTATAATGGTCGTCGGCACAGACATCTTTCCAGTAGCGTCTGTCGCGGGCGGTTCTAAGGATGCAGGCCCTGGGATTCTGGGAAGGGTAGCCTGACATACCGTCGCAGGGGGACTGGGGTTGAGAATTGATTTTTCATGAAAAGTATCGAGATCCGAGCTTGGTGAAAAGCCACCTGGAGATGGACGATCGTACGGAGAAAGGCTAGTCATACTGCTACCTCCAATAGACAGCGTAGACGAATACGAGCCCGAGGTCCGGATACTCAAGGACGAGCCAGCTGAGAGGGTTCGTTGACTCGGGGCGTAATTGGGGTTGACCGACAGTGTGTTAGCAAACGGATGACCACCAAGTCTCCGTTGTGACAAATCTCCGTTGCTTGTAGCAACGTGTAATGTATGTCTATCTTCGCTCATTGGCTCGCGCGGAGGCGAGGATGCCCGTCGTTTCATGCCGTGTCTCGAATCCGGATATGGCGGAGTAGGCCCCCGAACAATGAAATGTCGCGGGGGTGCCGGCTCATCAGCCGAAAATTCTCCCTCGATATCTGAAAACACGCCCTGGTCGTAGCTTCCGCGGTTCGATCGGCTCGGTAGACTGATGCTATCTTCTCGCTGTGGCGTTGTTCCACGATAGCGGCGTCTGCTCGTATCCCGCACATATCCTTGGTCGTAATCCAGTGCTGATGATGGTGCATTGCTCTCCACGCTTGGGCTTCGGCCTTCAGCATACTCTCTCCAGTTGACTTTTGTCCTGGGAGAAACACCCCCGGACTGAGGACTGTTGTGCCATTTCACATCCAGTGTTGACCCTTCTGAAGGCCCGGGTGATGGCAGAGTGCTTGAGCTTCGTGACGGAACGGTGAGCACTGGTAGCGAATTCCGGTTGTCTGTTCCGAGACTGATAGATCCCCCTGGGGACGGAGGCTTTGCTATTTGCGGTTTTCCGATTTTGGATAATAGGTGCTTATCGTATGCATTTGATGAATCTGTGACACTTCGTAGTGAAAATTTGGGCTCGGCACTCAAGCTATCAAACGTGTTAGCAAGGATCAATCTATAAGAAAGCGCGGTACTGCGATTAACCGAGAGTCGCTCGCAGGTCTCGCGCATCAAGCGCACTTACATTGGACCCGCCGGGTTCGAGATGACCGACATGGAATTTGGAAATCCGTCTAGAGCTGGCAGAGGTGGCTGGATCTGGATATGAGTTTCGGGGCTGCGCGAGACAGGAGCTCCCTGTCTCCCGTCTAAATCGTCTATCTGCATTGGATCACCCGGTGAGGCGGTTTCCTGCCGCCGATGACCTCCAAACAAACTTGAGTTCGGCTTGATAGGCGGAAGAGAAGTCGGAGTTCGTGGATTTGCGTGTTCCCAGGCTGCGTCATAGCCCATCTCCAATCCGCGAATTCGAGATGGCGGTGGAAGTGGTGGAGGAGCGGGGTTCATGGTAGTTCTAGTTCGTGAAGCTATAGGTAACGGGCCGTGAGATGAGAGTGCCAGCTCGGGCATAGCGTATTGGGATCTTTCAGAAGAACTGCGCCTGTGCTCTTTGAAATCATGGAAGCTCGGTGATTGAGAAAATCGAAGGTCCATTCTAGAACCAGAACATAGAGCCGGGATCGAAATCAGGACGGGCTGGTGTGTATCCACATGAACCCAAGCTGAGATCAGAAAGAAACCCTAGTCCAGTAGAAGACCAGGCTGAGCTTGATGTAAATCGGAACAAGCAGGTCGAATCAAGATCCTCAGTGTCCCAGCAATAACCCAATCCAGTTGAGTGCAAACGTCGGTCGTGGAACCAGCTCCGATTGTTAAGCGGGCTAATAACCAGCTTTTTCACACTCCGATGAAGAGTTTCTCAGAAGATCCAGCTTCTGGTTCAAGAATGAGTGATTGCGATAAAGTTGACAGACTTCATGCAGTATAAGTCTCTACTTTAAGAGTCAGATAATTTCAAAGTGGACTTGACCTGATTAAAAAAAAAAGACCGGGGTAGTAGAGATAATAGGGCTGAAGATGACCATACCTCGGGACCCTTGTTCGGCGATTCGCCTCATAAGATGAAGGGTTTTCCCGTAAGTGACACACGGAGAACCGGGTCTGTGTCCCATAGATTTTGGCCACACTGCAACTCAAGGAGGTGCACACATGCTTAATAAGTAGAGAGAAAAAAAGTAGGGGAAAAAATAACTAGGTGATATGTTAGAAAAGGTACAATTAAGCCGAGAGAGGTATAAAGAAAATACACACAACTCTATGCAATCCCCACTAGCTGAAGCCCCAAAAAACCAGTGTAAGGCAAAAGGCAAAAATTGAAGGGCTGAAGGAGCTGATCAAATAGAATCCAAAAGGAAGTGGGAATTGTTATGCGCCCAGATTGGTAGAAAGGGCGGTGCAAGCGATTGGATAGGCAAAGAGAGGGGGCAAAGTGATCTCATCCTCAGGGAAAAATGAAGGGAAAGACCTAATTAGAGGGCAAAAAGAGGCAAAAAAGAAAGGAAATTGAAAAACATAGTGGAAAAGCAAGAGGGGGGTTTAAAGGCTGGGTGACGTGGAAATGTTGTATATGTATGTATCGTTCGTATATGTGTAATGTCTGTTACATTTGTTACATACCAGTTATAAGGGGATTGGGGTTTTTTAATTGTTTTTTTTTTTTTTGACATTATTTGAATGGAATTTAATGTGATTTAAGTATTTAATATGATATTATTCTCGACTAATTTACATATATTAAAATGATTGGATCGTATGGGAAGGGCCACGTTCGAATGACCTTGAAATAGGTTTAGGGCATAAGGCTAGAATCTAGAAAGGGCTTTAGCCTCGGTAATTTTCTCAGATATATTCGATATTTTATGCACTCCGTACTGAGTATACTAGTTATACTATGGATTTGACAACGGTTGGGTACCTACCATATAGCTTCCAAAAAAAAAAACGGCTGGGCCCAGAATGAGAATGGACCCAGAGTTCCAATTAACCTGCTGATCTATGGGACATGGGACACGCTATACGGAATACCCCATATGGAGTCTTCAGATTGAAGACCATTGCACAATGACCGTGCGGTCAACCTCACAGGTGGGGGTTCGTATATTGGACGCCTCGCGACCCAGACGATGGGTTTGTCCACTTCATTTATGTACTTTGTACATGGTACAACGCGGAGTACAATGTATAAGGTATAAAGTAGTATAAATTTTTGATATGGCTATTTTCACCTCATCCTAGTAACAGCATAATCTAGGAACTTTATATACTAAGAGAAAGGAGCCGACAAACAGGCTATATCCACAGCGAAAAGAAAGAAAAAAAAACCGGTCCAAGATGACAATGGACAGAAAAAAAAAAACTTGCCTTAAACCATGGTTTCTACTGAATTATCAACTTCATAAAAAGACCAGAGAGGGGTACACCGTAAATCCAGAATGAGGCCTGGAGAATGAAGTATAGATTGGCAAGGTCTTGTGCAGGTTGACAACCAGTGATAATATACACCGGGGGTCTTGGAAGTCTTGGCATTTAGGCTTAATATTTCCCGGGGGCACATGCGACAACGCCCCTGTTAAGTGGGTTCTTAGGCAGATACATGTATAAAAACATATACATATATAGTATATGTATATATCTCCTATCATTATATGTATGTTATTATTCCCTAACATATTTCATTATAAACATTCCCACATAAAAAAAAAACCGCGGACATTGCTGAGTCGTTGAACATTGACCCACTGATTTACTAGCGCACTCCACTTAGCGCCTAGCATTGCATGCACTGCCACACTGCCGGTCTGTCATTTGCAGGGGGTACGATCCTTGACATGGTGACATGGTGTGATCAAACATTCTAGAGACATGTCAAACTGTGAAAAAATTTCGCAAAAAGTGACCTGGGTCTTTGGATGAAATGTGAAGAGAAAGTAAAGGAACGTTGGAACAAACCCTCCAGGCAGGGAACATGGCTAATCGGCTTAATGCTCCACATCAGCTTCGAGAACAAAAATCTCGGTTTTTTTGTTTCTTTTTGTTTTTTCTTTTTATTAAATTCAGGAAAAATCGCTAAATTAGGTATTCCGTACTTCGTGTTAGTTCAACCCGTTAGACTAGTGTATAAGATGAACTAGTTACTATGTTGTATATGTTGTATGGTATGTTATATAGCCCTATGACCTATATCAGATCTTCTGATCAGACCATGTCTATACGGAGTAAAGATTGTCTAAACTCACGGTTTTAGTACGAAGTACGGAATAGCTCAATATCAGCATTTTGTACTTACTCCGTACATACGTTGTAATTGCTGAGTGTGGCAGTGACCTCTTGGCGGGGTTATATTATTACCTACAATGATTCATCGCTTTAGACACAAAGACCAGTCTAATAAAGTTTCCCGGTTGATGTTCCAGGAGGCGCCCTTGGCTTCAGAAAATTTAGATTGACAATATGTGACTAAGTAAACTACACTAACTATCAGACAGGCAGCAAACTTGGTCAAGAGTCAGAATGAGGGGTTCACGGATTTCGTACGGAGTAGCTCGGCTGACTTCGGCTGATAAAACCCAGTTCTCAGACCGTCAGCCCCAAAAAAACCCCCCCAAAGCTCTGGAAGAGTCCAGGTGCATTTGCACCCCCTGAGGCGCAGCCAGCCTTAAGCCTTAGAGGGCTGCAGCCTAGAGGCGTAACACGCGCCTCTTAGCCTCTATACTCCGTCGCCCCATGGTCCAGGTTCCCCGCGGTGAGCCTAACTATGTAAGCCTAAATCTAGCTTGCCCCGTGAGCACCCCCTTGCAGCTCGTATAGCAAATCAGATCCCCGAATGAGATTGATTGTTTGACCTTTGTCAGATGTAAATCGCGCTCTATTGCGATCTCGGCTAAACTTCTCGATAGACAAGTTCTATCTACGGAGTATACACGGAGTACTACGAAGTACTTACAACATATGTAAGACAAAGGAAATGATTAATACTTATGTACGGAGTAACTAACTATGTACTTACCATGTAGGCACCAATACCAGAGTGGGGAGAACCTCAGACAATGGGTCACCCCTCCAAAGTACCATGTTGTGTACAAACCCACATTCTCCTACGAAGAAAAGTTATATTGGACCTGTGGATATTTGAGGCTCATAAATTTAAATCTACTGACAATTATATTTTATGCTGTTAACCTATGTTGTAGACAAATAAAGCCAAGTTATAGTATATTCTGCCTGAGGCACTAAGGTCACCTGCTTTGTCATACCCTTGCCCTATCAGACTTTTTGAGTTTGGCAGCGCCGAGGCTCAACCTCCGCCATTGCGATCTAAAGAGTCAAGTTATCAAACTGACACTGAACTTGAGCCTCTGAATTCTGTATTTCCCCTGTCGCCATTAACAGAACATCTCACTGCCACCGAGGTGCAGCCACCATATCTCAAAGCAGCCATGAATCAAATAAAAGGCCACAATATCTATATCGGAGGGTTGGTCTCACTTCACTAACAGACAATCCTTATCGGGGTGTGTCGCTGAAATAGAGCTGAGGCTGGAGATTGGCGCTGCCAGTTCCTGATTTGGTAGTTTTGATTCATTGCTAACGCACCTTTGTAGCATACTTAGCGTCAAAAACAAAGCAGCATTGGCACGCGCAGATATCTCGCATGTTCTCTCAGTGCTGCGCCTCAGCCCAGCTGAGGAAGATCAGACTTTCAGCTCTTACCAGCATCTTTCCATAGGAGTTGACGATGTGGACGATGAAAATTTATTGGAGCATTTCCCCGCTGCTATCAAGTTTATTCAGTCCGGCCTAGACGGTGGTGGAGGTGTACTCGTGCACTGGTAAGTCCAAATACAAATTACCCAGTCTCACCTGTGGAGAGTTTACCCCAGCTCTTCGGTCGTTCCTATTTCCTCTTGCGGAATGCATATTCTCGAGTGGCTTCGTGCCTCCTACGTCATTTCGTATCCATCAAGTGCGATCTACACGTGGCTGAAGAATCCTGCAAATCCCCTTGATACACGTTGGACCCGTTTGAAAATTCAAAAGCCGTGCCTTGGGCCGCGCTTATCAAAGAAAGATGTACAATGGCTAATATGATGACAGTGCGATGGGGAAGTCCCGCTCGGCGACCATTTGCATCGCCTACCTGCTCCACCGCCAACCGGGGTCGCTCACACCGCAATCTGCCCTTGCGCTGGTTCGCCAAACCAGACCCCTATGTGAGCCAAACGAGGGCTTCATGGAGCAGCTGAACCTGTACCATGAGATGGGCTGCCCAGATGATGTCACTGACCACCCATCGTACAAGCGCTGGCTTTATCATCGCGACGTCGAAGAAAGTGTGGCGTGTGGCCGTGCTCCAGAGCTGAAGTCGGTGCGATTTGAAGACGAACAGCCCGTTCAGCCTAAAGATACCACCGGTCGAACGGTCGAGATTAAATGCCGGAAATGCAGGTGCGTCTCACAAATAGATCTATACTGCTAAAAGAAAAAAAAGTCCTGATTTACTAAACCTATCACAGAACCAAATTGGCAACAACTCCATCCATCCTCCCGCACGAGGAAGAAAAGAAAAACACTGCCAAGTCCTCAGCAACCGCCGAGTGTGGCCATGTTTTCCTCCACCCCCTAACGTGGATGCGCCCAAGTCTCTTCCCAAACGAGCATGGAGCTGAGACTGCTGATACAACCTACGGTGCGCACCCCGACGATGCCCCTCTCGCTGGTCGCCTCACCTGCCCAAATCCTGTCTGCGGGTCCAATGTAGGCAAATTCGCATGGCAAGGTCTTCGATGTAGCTGTGGTGGCTGGGTCGTGCCTGCCATCGGTCTCACCAAAGCCCGTGTTGATATTGCCCAGGTCAACATAGCTCAGGGGCCAAGAATTAACCCTGCCATCCGTCTTCCTCCGGGAATGCGGGTCCCAGCGGCTAATGATTCTGGGCGCGGGAATCTTTGAGATGAACACCATACATAGTTTTACGAGTCACGAAAGCTTAAAGCTCCATCTTTACATTTTATTTATGGTTTCATGTTTGGTTTTTTTTTTTTTGGCTCCAGATAATCATCTCCCAATCAAGGAGGCTCACCGGGTCTCTCGTGGGTGACATGTGGTACATCTAAGCTTGGGCCTGGGAACCACTTGCAAGTCCTTCGTGCACAGCCTGGTTATCATTATTGAGGCACCCACTCTTCAAAACGAGGACCACGTGCCCCACCTCGAGAGGGAACATTATCTCTCGCCATAAGAACACGACTGCCTTGCGTCTCATTTCATTATACTTCGTCCAGGCAGTATACTTCGTACAGGCATCGACAATGCCGACCAGATATAGCTAGTGAGGCTCGAAAACACCGCCTCCTACCTTTCCAGGAAAGTCACCAAAGCTGACAGGGTGTTCCCCCGTGCTCCATCCCATGATCTACAAATGCAAAAGCAAGACATCAGGCAGCACGCCGGCTAACATGCATGCCCTTGCTGATCTGTACAGCCACTGTGATATCAATCTATCCCAAAACGCACAAACCCACTAGTTTAGTCCTCCAAAAGATACCTAAGAGTATCTATATTGTGATTCGTATCCAACAACCCCTGTCAATCAACACCACAGTGCCATGTCCCACAAACCAAAACATGTATCTTGTACAAACAGATAGTAAAAGTAATACAGCAGCCATATGAGACAGAGCCAAAGCCAAAGCCCCATTTCGAATCATAGTAAATCGAGACCGGGCTTACCCTACCCTAGGGCTGCACCGCATAGCATGCATCGACTCGTGGTCTTAGCCTTTGCCTTTTTCCTTCCCGGGTGCAATCCCGTCGAATCGAGCCATATGCAGCTACATAATAATTAATCGCCAAGGTCTTTGTTTTTTCTCCCACAATAGATGCAAAACATATACTCCACTGGTCTTTTCTCTTTTCTCTCTGGTTTACCTTCTAATGTGGCCCCACTAAAGTGTCAGTGATGTTTCAAGGATCAGCGTAACGCCAATGACGCTGAATTTCCCCCCTTCTGTTGACTTCCAAGGTTTGAAGCACAAGGAGGCTGTGCAAAGCGGGTCTGTTTCCAGGTCTTCCCGATTGGTTGTGAGTATGTGTATTGTCATTACGCGTATGTGTTTGGTATTGGTTTATTACTGGGGTATCTTGTATCTTTTTTCTTATATTGTGTCTAATAGCTATACACTTAGGCATCCATATCTCTCTATATGATATATTAGTTGTGCAGTTTCTTTACTAGTAGAACTTATTGTGTAAGCTCTCATTGGTTGTCGTATCAACTAGGTAGAAATTGCATGCCAAATCCATATTCTGTGATTGGCAATATCCCTTTCTCAGTGGGGGGCAGTGCACATTGCCTTGCAGGGGATAGCTCCCGGTGGAGTTCCCATCTGGTCTGGCTTCGGGAACTTAACAAATGTTAATAAAATGTACAGGTACACATATCACAATCCACATCATTGTTACATAGTTTAGATGTTGCGATCGTCGATCGCTGGCATTTAGCTTTGTTTCATCTGGGATCAGCAGTGTATATAGCTTACGAGTCTAATTAGGAAACCACTTGATATCATTTATATCTACCATAATTCCGTAATATCCTATGTTCTATATTGCAGAGATTTCATTAAAAAATTACTACGTTTAGTCTCACTTCGTTCGGCGTATGATATTTCCGCATATGTATAATATCTTGCCTTGCACAGGCCTTGTGTCTCATGCCGACATTTGTTGTCAACTAGTAACCTACAAAATATAGGCTGCCGAATACATTCATCTAAATACAGATAGCAGGGTGGTAGTTACACTGCCTTTAAAGTTTGGACAGCACGTGCATATCATGTTTACTATACTCACATGAGTATGGAGTATCACAGAGTATACAGGATATAGTCATGGCTACCTACGCTCATCATGTCAACCTGACACTATATATAGGCTACATCCAATATATACAGCACTAGTCTCTAGTACAGCACTATTCATCTAGACCTGTCAGGCAGCGTTCAATAAACCTGCCTGAAGTAATCCGAGAAAGGCATCTACGATTGCCGAACAATTATAGATTGTGTCACTTCCAGGCAGCTGCATTGTGAATTGGAATTGAATCCTCACGTGTCAGTCTCAGTGTTAAAAGTGTTATGGGTATGTAGTTGTCTAAGGGCTATGTATAGTTATGCACTTGCATTGAAATAGCATCAACATGCCGAATTTAAAATAGATAGCCCCATCACTAGCTCGTAATCACATGCAGATATTGCTATTAGTAGCTACGGTGAGGAAAGGAACAACTAGACAGATAACGTCTTACAAAAGTCAACGAAAACTGCCTTGTATCTGATAGGGAAGATAGTTGCGATTGCGCAGCCAAGCTCTAAACCGCAAGGAGGCAGTCGGAGCAAGCTCCGACACGGCAGCAAAACTACGAAAATCGGTACATCTACCGTGGCAGTCTACGTAAAGATAGTTTGTTCAACCCTCATGCATCGAAGTTCGCAACGCACACGACTAGTATGCTTCCATCGAAGGGCGCAGGAACAACCCGAGTAAGCAGCCCACTAGGGCCAAGGCAGTCTTCCGGATGGGTTCCTTCTTTCCTCGGCGTTAAACAGGAGCCGCTCTAACTAATTAGTGCTTATTACGGAGTATATTTCCCCCTCAGCACAACGGTCATGCAACACGGGAAGCATCGTGGCACCGGGCGATTTGCTGCAAAAAAATGAAAACCCGGCAGTTTCCACTATGGCGGTTATATGTAGGTTCCCGGGCGAAGTGGCTAGGATTCGGTTAAGACGCAGTCTCGTTGGGCGCCTCAGGGACAAATATGTACTAAGAATAAGTGGGTTACATACTCCGTAGAGATCATCGGCTTGGAGGGCCTACTACTGCAATCAGCATCCTGCAGGATCAAATTCATTTGAGAGACAAATCAAGTCTATTGTACGGATGAGTCCTAGGGCTGAATGTGCCCGACTCAGGGGCGCCCCGTGCCGGGGCTAATTACCACGTCACTGGCTTGAAACTTTAATTGCCGGGGTTGTATGAATCGCTGATAATTGGGCAGGAAGGCCGTTAAGAAATGCAATATGTAGAGATGCGAGGGCATGAAACTTGTATGACTCAATATTTTCGTGTGGGGGCGTCCGCTGTTCTCCTCAACTCGGTCACAACAGCAAGTAACCTAGTGACAATGAATTTATGGCAGCATTAGACATGCCGCGCGAAGCGATGGACATTAGTTCGCAGGCATGCCTTCGCTTTTGTGTAGTGCCTTCTCCTCGCCTGGCCCTCGGCGTGCCTGACATGGCGTTCTTGTCTTGAACGCCCTATACTGATGCCCAAAGAATATGAGCGAAGCAAATTCTAAGGATTTCCCGACGGCACAGAGGGAAACAGTGAAGGTTGCTTTAATCTTTCCTGGTTGCGTCTCGAAATTTCAATGTTGCGCAGCCGGTCGATGCGCATCTGATAGAAATTCCTGTTTCGTTGTTAGATATCACTGTCATGAAAATGATGTTTATCACATACTTATGCAAAGAGAAAATTCGAGGCGAATCATCTGTTTTTTTCTCTGTCTCAGAACCTTTTTGGATAGAAGCAATCTGGCAGGGAGAATCAGTCAACACGTTCATACAAAGCATATTGTTTGGTTCCCTTCGCTGTGGAAAAACACAAACCTTATCATCTCTGTCTTTTTCATCATTGGCTTTTGAATCGGGCGAATCTTTGTCTTTGTCTTTGGGCTCATCTTTGCCCTTATCTTTCTCGTCTTTATTGTCCTTGCTAGATGCCTTCTCGCGCTCTTTTTTTCTTCGTTGTTTTTCTTCATACTCTTTTTTTACCTTTTCAATCTCCTTGGCCATTTGCTCTTCCTTGAGCCGTTTTGCTTGGCCCTCTGTGTCGATGATTGGAGAGCAGAAGTTCTTGTCTTGCAAATGTGCGGGGCACACGTAAAAGAAGTCCTGGAGAGTAAATTAGCCACTTGATATACATAAAAATGAGGTGATTAAAGCAAAGAAACAATCTGTACACTAGGTGCCAGATCTAAGATCAGATTGTATACCTTGTTATCCGGCGTGATCATCACACTTGTTGATGGTTTGTAGCAAATCAAACATGCTTTTGCAGAGGTATCAGCGACCCGACGCACATGGTAGACATTTGTCAATGACATGACTCCGAATCAGAATTGTTGCTCTAAGCTACTGGGAGACCTTCAGAGCTTCTGTTGTTGCTTGGGGTTTGTGTTGAACAAGTGTAGATGGACTTAATAAAGTTGGCGTTGATAGAGAAAGCGCCGTCATGTGACCCATACTTCCAAGAGCAAATCGGATCTATCGAAGTCTTTACAAAATAATTGGAATTGAAGATGATCTTGTCGATGGAAAAGTATTGATCCACTAAAGCTGATATTGTATTTCAGCCAACACCAACCACGCCCATCTTAACATAACGCCTAACCATGCATTTGTCCATATCAATCTTGATAGGACCGGAGAATAGGACGAGAGATAACAATACATGAAGTTTTGTGAAGAGAAATCATGACATATAGTGAGCATTAAAAAGATTGCAGCAAAAAAAAGAGACCATCATATGTAGATCATAACAACTCCTCCTCTCCGTCGATGCCAGCTGCCTCCTTTGCTAGCCTCAAATCTTTACCTGCGATACCGATATCCCGTAAGTAAGGCCTGAAGGACATCAGTAGATCCTTGAGACCTCCACGGAGTGTAGCAAGCACGAGTTCAACATCTGGAACCAGACGGGCAACTGCTTGCGCCTGGGGATCGCTCGATGGGGGAAGTTGATATCAGTCCAGTGGGCATCCAATCCACCCTGGTGGGCAAATGCATCCAGGGTGATAGTGGTTTGGGTCAGAAGTCGCACGGCCGAGGGCACATCGGCCTGAACTTTGCCATACGGATCTTCTGCCAAGCTGGCAATGAGGAGTC